TTGGTAAGATTGGTGGGGGCAATACATGGAATTTGACCTCTCCTTTAAAGGGCTAATCCCGATATTTTTTGTAGAATAAAACTGCTTAATTTTGTGTTAAAATCCCTTAAATTCCTCTAGCTAAGGGCCGAGCAACTAACTCAATATTTGTGATACATATTCAAAAAACTTAAACCCGTCAGTTTTCATCTGGAAATGGAGACCGGTGTCCCATGCTGTACTATGCGGTGTCTGCATGAAACTAGAGTTTTATTTTATAATAATAATGTGTAGGTGAAATTTACCTTTCGTTATCAAGTAGAGCACATGGGCCATTCTCTATGTAGACCTCTCAAGGAACGGGAATCGATTATCAGGTCACCCAACGAAAAAACTGACCCGAAATCTTAAAAGGGTTACGTGTCCGGATAAGCAGTGTCGAAGTTCACGTCCAAACAACTCAATATTTTGAGCTGGAATTTTGAGAGAAGGTACATACAGCATTCCTCTATATTTTGGCGCTTAAATTTCATACGTACTCCGACTTTTATTTTTGAGACTCTTTTGAAATCGGGATAGTCCCTTTAAGTTTCCCTATGTCTCCCTCATTTCTCCCTATCTATCTGTAGGGGACGTCGCTTCTCCTAAAGTGAGCCCTGAATAGACCGCGTGATCATGCCTTTAGGCCAATCATAGCCGGCACGTCGTGTGCTACAAACAGATTATCTTATTTAGTTGGTATTCTTTAAAAACCCGTTGTCCTTAGTGTTGAATGAAAGTGATTTCCTTAATAAACTGCCCCAGGAAATAAACGATGGGGATATATTCGTAACATTTGATGTCTGTAGTCTATAAGACTATAATCTTGGCCAAATAGCAGATTTGCACAAGCTTTTAAATGACCTAGATATTAATATTAAATTCACTATTGAAACCAGTTATAAGGAAAATACATTTTTAGATGTTCTCGTTAAAAGATTTAATAATGGAATCGTTACAGATATTTACTCTAAAGCGACAAATACTAACCATTATTTCTCTTACACAACATGTCATTCTCGCCATTTTAAAATTATAAAACCCTTTTCTCTTTTTGCCAGAAAACTATGCACTATAATTTTAGACAAAGATATCAGAGTTCGGCGACTTGAAGAATTGAGATCCAATTTATTGACAAAATATTATTCACTTTGGGTTATTAACATAGGGGTCTAAGTACTGAAGCATTAAGAACGCCAACAGAAAAGAATATCTCTATTTGTATTATCTTTATTTCGACATATAATCCTCGACATTATAATATTTTTCAACATATTTATGATACAAAAGATATTCTGTATTCTAATGATAATCATAATCGCCAATTTCATGGCATAGAATTAATTAATAATAAACGTCAGCCTCTAAGCCATAAAAAATTACTCTCTAGAGCTAAATTTCAAGTTTCTAACCACTTTGTTAATGTTGCCACCATATGATTATTAATACTAAACTCACTTCTTCTAATATTAATTATACGCTTAGAATCAATGATAATATGAATTGTACTGCTACAAATTTAATTTCTTGTATGTAAACAATGCAATAAATTTTATATAAGGGAAAGCGGTACTGAACTACGCGCACGCATCCCAATACACAGGAAACAAAGTATACAGATTAATCCGGTTTTGAAAGTCTTTAAACATTTATATACTTGTGCTAAGAATTTAAATATTACATTTATTATTTTTCATTTTAATAAAGTCAAAATTGATAATACAATCAAAATACGGAATATGGAATCATACTTTTTTGACCACCGGTTCTTACCAGACTTAAATGCTTAACATCCCCCCCCCACCCTTATATACACTTTTTACTTCGACACTGTATAAGGAGATTTTAAACGCTGTAATTCACTACAAAAAATTTAATTGCAGTTTTAGAGAATAGAATTGATGTAAATTCTAAATGTAAAGTTTCTCACCAGGATGACAGTAAATTAATGTCATCCGAATACATACTTAGAATCACTATTGTCAGATTATACCAGGGAAACTATGTAAATTAATGTCATATTATGTATTATATACTTTATAACACTTTGTTGTAGCTTACCTGATATTATTTATAATCCATTATTCTACGAATCTATATAAGTGAGAGAGAGTGAGAGAGAGAGAGAGAGAGAAATGGGGTTTAACGTCCTTTCGTCACATACTATCATTGTATCTTCTCAACTAGTCCCATTTTTTTTAACCAGTTTTAAAATTCTATTGACTTTTGACGATACAATGATAATATGTTAATTAATAATATGACGATATGATAATTTCAAAGGTTGATGGTTGTAAATTACTTGCAGGTCGGGGTTTTGGCCTAAATTAATCGATTTATGAGCTAGATATATTACATTATTTGACAGAGATTATAATCAGATATACCACCAAATCGCATATTTGGGGTTCATTTTTCAAAATTTTCCCGGGGGAGAGTCCGGACTCCGCGGTCAGTAAAAGGGGCCGCTCCGACACGGGAGCCCGGGCCGGTTCCCGGCCCCAATCCGCCCCTGGTCAAGAGTCATGAGTCAATAGAATTTAACTGGTTAAAAAATGGGACTAGTTGAGAAAATTTTGACCATTTTATTAACCAGCTAGGAATACTGAGTGGGAGCGGACATGCATAGGCGTACGGGACACAATCCATTTTTGAATTTTTGGAAATGGGAGGCCATTTCCCGCAATTTGAGACCATTCCCGACATCCCAATTCTGTAATTTCATCTCTGAAAACAACGAGTTAATAAAAATGTCAAGGAATATTTTTAAACACCAGCCTCAGGAAATCGTCTCGCACTCATATTCATCCAGCAGACCAGCTATCATCAAACTTTGCTGAGGCCTTAAAATTGAATATTTTTGGAGTTACAAACCATCGGCAGACGTTTCTGGCGCATCCCCACAAACAGGGTGCAGGTGACTTAATAATTAGTAAATTTGCGGGCGACAGTGTCGGGTGAATCCGATGAAATTTTCGGATGAAATTCGGAACCCCCATTGCAGGATTCCGAATTCCGGAGCACACCCGGCCCAGAAAGTCTGTTATACCAGCCCATTCCAGATTCCAGTGATGGCGTGGCGGCCCGTTAAAGCCACCGGCCACATACAACATGATCATCATCGCTCCATGGCCGGCCCATACCTCCTCACCCCCATAGAATGTTCAGCAGAAAAAAGGTTTTTAGACGAATTGGACAAAAAATTGTTTTTCATTTTTTGTCCGACCGGCACTTCGGGCGCCCGATGGCCCAATCCGCCCCTGCATGTAGGATGATCTTGGAGTACGTCAAACTGGCTATAGAAATTACAAGTCTTTCATATTCAATAATATGTTAATATCAGTAACCTTTACACACTATGTTTCCGTTATATTATTACAAGTGTTTCGATACGGAAATTCAAACACGGGAACCTTTTCATCTCATTTGACATTGAACAGAAAGTAAAACGAGAAGATTTTATCGTAAAATATTGGCTGTAATAATATTGCTTAAACACTTATCTATACTATGCTATTTATAATATACTGGTTTAAAACAATTAGCTGTAATATACTGGTTTAAAACAATTAGCTATAATATACTGGTTTAAAACAATTAGATGTAATATACTGGTTTAAAACAATTAGCTATAGTATACTGGTTTAAAACAATTAGCTCTAATATACTGGTTTAAAACAATTAGCTATGGTATACTGGTTAAAAACAATTAGATGTAATATACTGGTTTAAAACAATTAGATGTAATATACTGGTTTAAAACAATTAGATGTAATATACTGGTTAAAAACAATTAGCTGTAATATACTGGTTAAAAACAATTAGATGTAATATACTGGTTTAAAACAATTAGATGTAATATACTGGTTAAAAAATTAGCTATACTATACTGGTTAAAAAAAATTAGCTATAGTATACTTGAATGAACTGAAATGGGTTTGAACGTTCTACTAAAGTAAAATGTATTTCTACAGCATAATTTAAGGCTATAAACATGTTCATCAAATTTACTTGGTGCGAATTTCCTCAGGTCATGAACCGAAAGGGATTCGAGAGACTTTTTTTTATTCCCGACAGCGTCCAATAACTGTTTATGAGTAATTCATAATTCAAATTAATTTTAAATACATGTTAACGCTTACAAATTATTGTTCGTATAAAAGGTGGGACGCGTCAGAGCATATTATTATCGTAACACGCCCTAGTAACAAACTGATACAACTCCCCCTCTCTCACAGGGGATGCGAGAGAGAGGGACAGGTTAGGTAGGCGACAGAAAAACAAAAGAGTATAACACAATATGTAATATAAAATAATACAAAATACAGAATAAACAAGTATAAAGATTATATTACTAAACTATGCTGTAATATTAATACAGGTTAAAGATACATTATGTACGATTGAGATCCATTGTGTAAGATTTCGCATCCTACTGGTCTGCTCCGACTGGGCTAATGAAGACGGGCATACGCGATATGATATGATGTGCACGTCAATGTATAGACGTGACCCCAGTTTTCCGTCCCGTCTGAACGACTAGACAGCTGTCCTTGGCAGGCCCCCAATTGAGGTAAAGAACTCACTGCTCTTACAATTATAGTTTAAAAACAGATAATACAAAATGAATATAATGACAATATAATTCAGATCACTTTATTCTGAGCTATGTGTTTGGTATTTTGACCAGATAGGGCAGACTCGATTCACCATTTTTAAAATTATATAATTAAATATGGCGATCGTATTTCAATCCTTTTAAATCAAAGCCACCCGATGATGGTCTAGAGAGTTGATTATAGGCATGGCATGTGAATAAATGTCTCAGTAATAATTTATATAACATTTATATAACATTTAAAGCAGAAGTATCTTTAAATATAGAAATCGGGTTTGCCCGTACTTAGTCACATCTATTATAATAGCCTGTTTTTTCCGGTGTAGTTGTTAAGAGTGTGAATATTATTGTACATTAGGTAGAACGATGAGTTTAGCTGAACAATTGTTTGACAGATCAAGACAAGGTTTTATAACATTGTATATAATATATTAGAAACTATTGTTTGACAGATCAAGACAAGGTAATATCTGAGGTTTTATAACATTGTATATTATATATTAGAATCAAACAAAGTTGGTATATAACATACAATTAATCTTGTTTAGTTTTGAAAGATATACTTTAACGTATACTTATGGTATCCGTATGATTTGTGAAATAATGTTGTATCAACATTGACTTAAATAATCTACTGTCTGTTTTAACCATTTTAATTAATTAAAGAAATAGCAAGCACTTTTAGCTCGAAAAAAAACCGTTTTGTTTATGACCGAGGGTTTTATCACTGCAGGAGGCGTCCTACTTATAGGTCAATTAAATAAACAGTTTACATGACAAATGGACAATAGTGATATGACATTTGTAAGAAAAAAAAATAATTTTATTTCAACCCCGAATAACGAAATACGTTCTATCCCGTTATGGGTTATTCCAATTTTTAATCCCGAATAACGAAACAAAATTTAACTGCATACAGCCCATAAGATACTGGTTAAAATAATTAAAACAATTAGCCGTAATATACTGGTTTCAAGTAAATTGTAAATGAAATAAAATTTAATAGGTTTAACGCCACACGACGTATATTGCTGAAGAAAAAAGTTTGTGGTTAGGTTCATAATTCTGTTTGAAAGAATAATTTGCCACAATGAAGTGAGCATAGATAAGTTTGAATCTGATTTATGATCCATGAACAGTTCACAGTTGACATTGATATTTCTAATACATGTGACATGAAATGGCGTTTATTTGTTCTGCACCGGCTGGGCAAATGTAGACGGGAAACGCCATGCAGTGTAATATTACGGAATTTGTGCTCGGGATCGGCGCTACGACCTACTTTTATTTCGAATTCCAAGTGTCATGGGTTCTTTTACGAGCACGCCAATATGTACACGTGACCTCGGTTTTTATTCCAGTCCGAACGACTATATGTTGTCCTTTGCTCGGCCCTCCGTTCTACACCACTGATAAGGGAAAACCACGACGAAAAATCACGATGAATTTACCAGGCCAACAACAGGATCGAATATAGCTGGGTGTGGTTTAATATAGATTATAAGTTTTTTATAGAGTATGAAGTTGATTACTTGTCCATGATATATTTCTTTAACTGAATCATGATCCATCGGGCGTGATGACATTATCTCTGACTTGTATCATACGATACTTGTATTATAAAACATACATGTAGACGCACATCTAAATATCTAAATACTATTAAACATACATTATGCAAGAGCTAAATCTGATTATTGCAAATCTTTATTTAGGCTTCAGATGTCGTAGAAATAAACAATTAGATCTTTATTTACACAACAAGCACAAAATTCGGCATTGATTTAAACAGGATTTCATTGATTGATTAAATTTTTAAATGGCGTCGTAAGCGGAGATTAACCGTTACGTTGACGTCATACTCCTGGAAATTTTAGATCGAGGCTAAATAATGATAGAGTGTACGAAGCGAGGCCGCATGTCAGTCAATTTGATTAAAGTTCGATATATACGGCCTTGATATTATATTTAATTGTGATTAAAATGAGAGTTTGGGTGTCGGTATTATACGCTCTCTTGCCACTTGCGTTTACAGAAAAATTATGGAAATTGATAAACATCGCAGCTAACATCACCCAGTTGAATTGCAGTCCCATTGGATCACTGTTTCCTATTTGTCTGCTTCGGGAGTTACGTAGGCCTAGTTACAGTACAAGAGTACACGCAGGCTAACAAGAAGTCGGCTATAATTATGCCTCATTGATTTGGTCCACTCCTTTCAAACTTTCGCCTCTTATCTATATATTAAAGTCTTATTTTTAATTTGTAGTAAAAATAAATGTGATACGAATTGAATTGCAACCCCGTCTCAAACCGAATAGGCTAATGGTACCACAGCCATTGCACAGAGTAAAAATACGGCCAATAGAAACACTGCGACGCGCAATGCATCTTGGGAATTGTCTGTAATAAACACACACTGACAGTTCGCTCAACGACGTTACGATATCTATATCGATGAACTAAATCTCTTTAATTTCGTAGTTTTATAGTATTTTCGGTAACAAAACTACTGAGAATTATCACATACAATCATAATATGTTAGTTGTGTGTGAGTTTCGGGAATTTATAAAAAAAATGATTCATATTTTTAAAACATGCATAAAGCGTGGTACGGCCCGGAATGAAAGAAGTGAGACTGAGACGAGAGACGGCATTTGTGGCGGTTTGCGAATTGGTCTATTTAAGGCCGTAAATTATTGTCGATTTTTAAGAGGTTTTATTAACTTTGAAACTATTCCACCAAATACTTGTTGTTTCCATTCCTAGATTTGAAATGTAATTTCCATACACCTTAAAATGGGCCATTTGAAAATGTCAAAGTGCCACGCCCTTTTTTGGATAAGGCCTATTTTACTCAACATCAACATGATTTATTTTTTCTCCCAAAGAAAAATTCCTTTGTCTTCTAGAGCTTATTTTATGTATGTTATATTAATTGAATTTCAAATAGGCATATAACGTTTCCAATAAACAGATTTGAGCCGTTGGTTGTTTTCCAAGATAAAATACCTTTGGCTCCAACGTTGACTCGCCGTGTGCTTTCATGATTTTTGTTCCATTAATTAATGTGGGCTTTCATTTTTTTAAAAATAAAATAATTAAAGATATTAAAATTCTATTTGAATAGGCCTATAACATTTTTCAATAAACATTATTTGAGTTGATTGGTATAAACCAAAAACAACTTGAGAATGTATATTTTGCATATTGCTCTGGGTGTCATGTAATGTTTTGACGGCCTTTATAGGCCCCCTAATACTATGAAATTGTCCATTTTACACTACTGCACAAGAATATATCAAATTATTATAAATCTGAAGTTTGCTCTAGATATCCATGCCATTAGGTCTGATCTGTGTTCAGAGTTACTTTTATTTTTGTCAACTGATTATTTAGAAATAGAAAATTTATACTGTGTACTATTATGGAATTATCTGCCATACAAACTGAAGTTAACCATACAGCATACTATTACTAGATAATCACAGAGTAAATTAAAATTATTTTGAATTACTGAATAGTTTAAAATTAGTGATACTGCTTCAGAAAATATTTTATTAAAATATTAAGGCCTACGAGTAAAAGGGGAAATGTGATTTTGAATAGCATAACAGTATTAGGCTTTCTGTTTTATTAAAAGCTTATTGCAACTGAAAATTGAGCAAAATAATATTTTTGTTATGAAATTTGGAAAGGTATAAACTTAAAACTTAAATTTTTTACCACAAGTAATTGTAGGCCTACATAGAATCACATTTTGCGATACACAATCTTCGAAAAAATTAGGCTTGTCCATTATCCTTTTGCCAGAATACAACAGATTTTTCAGAAAATATAGTTAGTTCCCTCGCACATGATTCTTTTTCAATTGCTTTTAATGACAACATATGAATCTAAATTTATTTTATTGGGTAGACTGTAGGCCTATTATTGTGTTTGTAGATTTTATTTGTTTTTACAAAAAATATAGAATGTAAAAAGAACATGTGCAACTACAGACATTAATAGCACATTGATTTGAGTTACAGCGAGAGGTCATATTATCATAAGATAAAGACGTATAGGCCTAGAGATCTACTTCTTCGAGGCCTACAGTACTCAGTACTCTACATTGGAATATATCATAATATGCAATATAATGCCAATTAAGCATAACCAATCAAATATGAAAACATCTTTCACCAAATATGTACTCTTTCCAAATACAATTTTTGATGATATATATTGCTGTTCTTATAATCTATTAAATCTATGTTATTATGGCTCAGTATTTATTATATATTTATAGCACTAGGCCTAGCACTCGACGATGACTCGTATCGACATCGTACTCGTAGCAGACGACGCGACGTAGACTTAGCTCTTTTTTTAATCCCTCAATAATCCATAAAATTAAAACACCCGGTGTGGGACCTACTCTGGATTCCATATCCACCACTCGCATGTTTACATTTTCTTCTGTTCAACTGCGAAACGTCTTCTTTATCCGCCAGGTTTAGTGACAAACCCCAAGATGCAGTGCGCGACCTACTTTTTATGCAAATGAAGCAGTCGCCACTCTGTGTGTTTTTACTCTGTGGACATTGAAAACGTTACTTGATAAGCGAGATTATGTAGGTGGAGTTAACGCCTGTCAATCAAACAATCGGCCATTCTCGGAGACGGCGAAGAGGGCGTTGACTCCTATTTCTTGTCAAAAATTACCAATGGTGATAACTTTGTTCAGAATAAAGTAATTTGACTGAAATTTTCAATATATTCTTCTTTCATCACCTATTTGTGAACTGTTATAGCAAGAATGGCCAACTCTCTATTAAAATCCCCCATAATGTACCTTTAAATCAATCATAAATCATAATAATTCACATATCTTACTTTTAGTCCGGTGGCTGAAGGGGGGGGGGGGGGGTGGAATCGCCACCCGAGCTGTGAATTTATGAGACCAAAATTTTCTAGACCAGTTTTTTGCGTAGATTCCGAATCTGGGTGGTGACCAGGCGTTTGAGGGGGCGTTTTCGAGATATGGGGGGTCCAATGTCTACAATTGGCGGAAAATGTGATTATGTTGACATAAATGGTGATGATGTTATATATTAATAAAACATAAGTTTCTAGGACTGTCCACCTCTAAATAAGTTTATATGATGCCACTGGACAACTGTTTTGATATGTGGCGAGGTGGGGTGGGTGGTTGCAGGTGTATAAGATTCCCAATGTTTGTGTGTGGGGGGGGGGGGGCGCCGGGACGGGTGCTCATGGGTGGGGGGGGGGGGGCAACATGTATCTTTGTGAACAGAAATCATTTGTTTCAATATTGACCTTAAAAGTGGTTTTTCGTTAGCTTTTCGTTCATTACCAATATTTGGTCATTCAAAATATTAAATTATGATGTTGCTTTTCAAGAGATCTGGAAATGTAAATCAAAAACACAGTAAATCAGAGACATGTTTATATATTAGTTTATTCTTAGTCTTAATAAGAAAATTTAAAATCAAAAGTTCATAATATGAGCCAGATAAATATCTTCTTGGTTGCTTACCAACAGATCGCATATGTCCTTTGGATATCCTTAAGATACCAGTTCACATTGTAAATCTTCATTCCAGCCATGTTATTTTTTCACCCAGAAAATCTTTCTTCTGGCATCACCCACTGATGTAAGTCGCCTTCCGCGATATTTTCTACCTTTGCCCGTCTCATTATCGATCAAAATGTGTATTTTGGGATTATCGTTGGCGATGACAACGATTGGGATGTCTATTTCGCCCGAGCAAGAACACAAAATACAATTTATTTCAGCGCCTCCATTAATATGCAATGACCTCGTGGTTTGTTGTCAGTTCTAGGATATTCTCGACACTTAAAATACTAATCTTGATATAAGTGTCTAGGAATATCTAGGCCTGTATGCTTTCAGTAGTAATATGTAGCACCATGGGTCTTTTGTCCGACGTGGAGAGCGGGGATGGGAAAACCGGTCGCCACATCCTACATACGACCCATGCATCTTTTCTTACTACATATTTCTGTAGCCTTATGATCGTCTAGAATTTGTCTCTAGCTGTCTTTACTTCGGCTTCACGTTGTGTATTTTACTTCTTACAGTGTCCGTAAGACGTTTGTCTTACCAGGACTAACAATGCAACAGTTTGCTTCTACATTTCATATATATATAGCTGAATACAGGTATACAAGCATAGCACAAATTACAATACTAGCTAAAACCATTTCTCTACCCTAGCCAGCCTCGCGGCTGTCTAAGAACTCAGATGGAAGCTCTCTGGAACCCAATAGAAGTCTGGCGAATTCTCACCAGTATCCTAATTTTGTATCTACTGGTTTGGGACATTCAATTATCCAATTGGTCAAATATGATGTAAATAATTATAGAGATTGGTTAATTGAGCCCAATGACGTCGACAACCACTCTTATATGGTGGAATGGAATTTTACTGAAGAATATTCTCATGAGATATCTGTTAACATGTTGTTGACATAGAACCAGTTATGTTATGGCTCTACAAGTGTTTTTATATCACAATATGTCATTCAAACCCTAAGTTGATTTAAGTATTTTAAGTACATATCACATATTATGCGAATATGTTATTTCTCGAGCAAAAATTCTACTAAAAGTATTACAAATGACTATCTGCTTTTCTTTTACAAGATAATTTCATGTCTCTTGTTTACTGTTTTTTTCCAGATTTCTTGAAAAGTACTGTTATAATCAATCTGATTAAAATACAGATCTATATTTCGTTTCGTTTTTTTATACTTTCGATGGCATACATTACATGAATATCTGACCGGTTGTAGTGGGGGTGGCTTCAGAGGTCACCCTATGACGTCAGACATTTATTAATCAGAACTCGCCGTAACAGACCGTTTCACTTGCTAATCCCTTACATTAAACAGAACGCGGCATATCTAACAACTCTTCCAGATCCTATTGTTATGAAGACGACATTTTGAACTATAAAAAACGGAACGAAATAGGATCTGTGTTTTAATCAGATGGATTATAATTTAATATTTTGAATGACGAAATTGGTACTGAACAAAAAAAAGCTAACGAAAAGCCACTTTTCAGGTCAATTTTGAACCAAGTGGTTTCTGTCCCCAAAAATACATTTTGAGCCCCCACCCCCATACAATGGGAACCTGATACACATATAGAGGTGTGCAATGAAATTAAAAAGTAATTTTTTTTATCAAACTCTAATAAAATCATCATTTAAATCAACGTGAACTCATTTCCCAGCAATTTTATCCACACGCACACGCCGGCCCCCCCCACCCACAAATCAAAACAGTTGTCCAAGGGCATCATATATACTTATTAAGAGATGGACAGTCCTAGAAATTTATGTTTTTTTAATACATAACATGATCATCATTTATGTCAACGCTAATGCCATTTCCCCTCAATTGTAGACATTGGACCCCCTTATCTCGAAAACGCCCCTTTCAAACGCCTGATCATATTTTGCCCACACCGCCATCCCCATTTAATGGGAATTAAACTCATATTTAGAGATGTGCAGCGGAATTAAAAAAAAGTAATGATTTTATCAAGCTCTAAGAAAATTATCATTTAAATCGATGTGAACTCATTTTCCGCCAATTTTACCCCCTACCCCCTTATACACACGCACACCTGCAACCACCTTTTAGATTAGTGAAAAGAAGAATCCTATTGAATTTCAACAATTTCCGTTAATTACGTCTAGAATTATGGCCCTTGTTACACTTTGTTGAACCTTGTCAACGTTTGAATGACAAAAGTTGTCATTCGATCTGTATGGAATTTATGTGCATATTTAAATTAGTAAAACAAAAAAGCCTGTTAAATTTAAAAAAATTCTGTAAATTATTTCCAGAGTTAAAGCCCTTGTTTAAGCTGTGGGTGTATGTTTTGTTGGCTAGCAATCTATATTTTATAATGTCTTTAACAATATCAATACAGTTTTCCTTTCTGTCTCTTGGACTAAAAACAAACACGACTGTGCTACGTCGTTTATGGCGCTTTCTAAACCCGCACGTCAGTGTACTGCTTGAATAACCGTATTAGTATCAAATAATATTATCCAATCCGCTTTATGGTCGTGGAATGGTGATTTCTCTATTCTACGGAAACCTATTCTGGTCATGTTATAATCTTGACGTCTTGTCACGAGAAGTGAAACACCGACTCCCACTAACAGCACTATTACGTCTTTGTGTTTTAAATCTTTACCAGGCGCACGTGGTCGAAAAACCTAAAACTGAAATTTCAAAATATGAATCACTGAAATACAAAAAGAAATGATATGCTGTTTAATATTCAAATTTTCTGCTCCGACTGGGATAATGAAGACAGGAATGCGTCGTAAAGTGTTTTACATTTTGCCCAGGCAGCTGCACTACGATCTACTCTTATATCGAATTCCATCTGTCAGGGCATCTTTTGAGTGTATGTCAACGTGTACACGAGTACTCGGTTTTCCGTCCCATCCGAACGACTAGACATTGCGCTACCACCAAGTGCAAGAGAAACCCGCACAAGGAAATCGCCTGCTTACAGAACCGACGATGGTTCGTGGTGGAAGTTGAATTGTGCAGTATAATGACCCATTACTCACTAGCACACTAAGTTGCAACCACGATTATCCGAAACACATTTGGATTCACGTTGCATGATCAGTATATGGTGTGGACAGCCGCGCTGTCGTTAACGACTTGGCAGTTGGCCCTCATGGCACACTTGGCTACACCCAGTAAGACTAAGCAAGCGCCACATTGAGACAAAGTCTCCCCAGACCCAGTTCCCAAATAATTAAAGCTCAGATACATAGATAGAACTCAATGACCATTGAATACCGCTCGGGTTATTCAATGCGGCAGGGATACACTCGAGTGAACCATTGAATAACCCGAGCGGTATTCAATGGTCATTGAGTTCTGTTTTTATTCTATAACTACATGCAAATCTCAAAATACACTGTACTATCTAGATTATCATAAAAAATCATTACTACTAACGTTAAAATTCATCATAGGTTCCGCCCTTTTTTCTTTTTTTTAACAAAAATTGTGGTTGCCTAGTTGTGACGTCATTACAGTTTGGCGTAGTTCTGTAAGTGACGTCATTCTGGACAAAAGTAGTAAGTTTTCAAGCCATTGAATACAACTATAGGTTATTCAATGGCTGTATTCAATGACTGTATTTTATGATATTTGCTTGTATTTGCAGGTAGTTATAGAATAAATAATATTATACGTCGCTATCTGGTCGTATACTATCTCGTCCAATATCCTATGGAACTGTTGTAGTGAACAATTTCCCACAAACGTCCCCAAACCTTGCCATAAATCGGAGCAGAAAGTAGGTAGTTAAACCCAATTTCATTTTTTACTTAATTAATGTTTATGATATTTTCCATTCACAGATAAAGAAGAGAAATGGCTGGATATAGGAATCCAGGTAAATATGCGATACACGAGTTACTACATAATATGACATCAAGTGTCTTCCGTAAATAATTTAGAAAATACTGAGTAGCCTTCACGTTTTTTTCTCAACGTATATAGGCTACTTAAATATTTGTTTGCCCTCATTATGAAAAAGCGCAAATGTCAACCGGAATTCTACATAATATACAACTTTCGTTTGAAATCAGGACGTCACAAGGTGTAGTTGACGTCATATTTCTTAGTAACTTGTTTATTGTTTATCGTCTAGTCCCAGTAAATTTTGAATTATTGGCATGTTTTATTATAAAGTGTACCAGTGGGTATCTAACAAATGTAATGGTTTTATTAGAAAAGAGAAAAAGAGTTTTTAAATATTTTTTTTATCTTCAAAATCAGCATATATTGAACATATAAAATACTTAATACCAGGATTATTGATGTATTTTTTTTATTAAAAAAGGTTACAAATGTTTTAATGAATTACATCATTTAAGACAGACATTTTTCCCATCATTTTTTATCAAGATTTTAGAATACATTGAAATAACATTTGTTTTAAAAATTTTAATTTATTTTTGTATAATTATAATGGCAAGTGTGTCTTCTTTAAAACAGACTTAAAAATATACTGATGAGAAAAATAACAAGTTCCGAAAATTGAATTGTTCAAACCCCAGTGAAAATTTGACTAGTCTGTCCATCCACTACATCATTGAAGTGGTCTTACATTTGTTTTGTAAACTTTGTATTTTTACGTCAAGTGGAAATAAATTTGTCCATTTGTGGAATGGCTGTTTATGTTTTAGTATATGCCATTTAAAAAAAGCAGGAAAATTTATTTTTGTATAATTATAATGGCAAGTGTGTCTTCTTTAAAACAGACTTAAAAATATACTGATGAGAAAAATAACAAGTTCCGAAAATTGAATTGTTCAAACCCCAGTGAAAATTTGACTAGTCTGTCCATCCACTACATCATTGAAGTGGTCTTACATTTGTTTTGTAAACTTTGTATTTTTACGTCAAGTGGAAATAAATTTGTCCATTTGTGGAATGGCTGTTTATGTTTTAGTATATGCCATTTAAAAAAAGCAGGAAAATGGTTTGGAAAATCAAATTTCCATGCTTATATATTGCTAACGTTTCGTCCAATTGATGTCTGTCCAGTTTTAGCGAAACGTTAGCATTATTTTAATATTTCTTTTCGGCTTCATATTACGTGATAGAATTTGAATAACCGCTGCAAACGAAGCGTGAATGTAGTCTCGATCTTTCACACAGGATACGGATAATTTGACACGGGGAGTCGATTGATTATGCCATTTTTACAGTTGTCTGTCCAAAAATGTTAACGTTAGCACTCTTGATACGTTAGCACCACTAATTCGCTTTTCACGGCGTTATTTACCCAAAATGTATCACTTTCTTTTCGGCCTTTAGAAAAGAAAACCGGCTTTCCGATTCCCGATGCATAAACATGGCGGTCGGCATTCTCGCCTTATTCACTCGATCAAAATGACTTTGACCCCCGCAAAAAAGTGCTAACGTTTCAATTGTCAGACCGATTAAATAAACCGTCTGTCCTTACGTAACGTTAGCACGTGCTTTTGAAATACTTTTTGTCCGCTTTTAAATTTAAAACTCGCCAAGGGTAGAAACACTATACAATTTATTAATACCTTTCATTGCGGACTATTTTTATTTTTAGATCAAAACAATAATTCAAGTAATACAGTTATTTATAAAATGTCCACGTCTGTCCTTATGTAACGTTAGCAACAGTTGCATGCCCGATAAATGTTTAAATTTTAGGTTATTAAAATATATGATTATAATTTATTATATTAATCTTAAATTCTTAATATTATGCTTTATTTAGCATGTAAAAAATCTCAGTAACTTCTTACATCAACACTATAAATAGAAATTTTCTTCAAACTTTAGTGCTAATGTTACAAATCTGCCAGAATGTCTGTCCACATGTAACATTAGCAATGCAATAAATTTTTAAATTAAAAATTAATTTGTTAATCATATCCCATGAAACTTCAGATTTAGATAATGTATTATTACATTAAACTTTTGAAGAAAATTATTAATATATATAAGCAACCGTTAATATCTGAAAGGAAAATAAATGTGCCATGCGTCTGTCCAATTCAAAAGAGACATTTTATATTTACTAAAATGGTCATCTTTACTGTCTTATGACCCAAAAATAATAGCATCTTCATTCATTTAACATAATTCAATGTATATTCTACCTATAGAGATTGCTATTTATATGAATTTTAATGTGCATTGTTTGCATTTGATATAATTTCATCTAGACTGATACGATTCAAAAAATTTCATAATGTTAGGTATAATGTTCAATAAAAAAATTATTTTGCAAAAAATTATCTTTTTTAAAATATATTTTGGGAGAATATGTATCAATCTTCCCTGAGACAGGGATTTTGTAAGAGGAATTGGAATTTCATAATTCAGTTGGGATTGGGAACAAATGGTACACTTTTAAAAAAAAACATGCCTTATGTACGACGTACAAGCTCTCGCTTTGTTATCTGTGGTTTCAACCAACAAACCTCCCATGTAATACAAGAATTATTTCTATTGTCATTCGGCGTCGTTTTCAATCGGCTTAATATTAATCATTAATAAAATATGATATTTAATGGTAAGCGTGCATGGAGATTGATATAGTATTTATATTTGGTTGGGTACTCGAATGGTCTAAACTGGTGCTCTTTAGATCATAAAGGTCTGGCATTGAGTCAACATATTATGTGGTTTGAGGTACCAGCTTGTACGTTACGCAGAGTAGGGTTCGCCGATTTGTTCACACGTACAAGCATATTATTGATATAAAATAGAAACATATGTTAGTCCCGAATTGACCTGACCTGGTATGTTTCACCTTTAATTAATGACCTTTTATCTTTTAATTAAGGATACCTGCCACGTCACCATGCCATTTTAACGGAAAACAGTGAATTGCTACGAACTATACTTGCGGACGGAATTAAAAACGTGGCACATAAATTAAATGGACGCTTTGTTTTGAGTGATCATCAGTTGAATATCATATTAAAAACAGCCCCTCAACAACCAGATGATGGTGTATTCGAATTAATAAAAATACTAAAAAGGAGTTCGGCGGTACATTTTGAAAGATTTATCGAATGTTTGAAGGACCTCGGATATTTAGGATTGGTTCAGAAACTTACAGGTATGTACCTGTATTTCTAGTCTCAGTGGTTTTATGAGCATTGATTGGGGGAGAGGGTTCCTCGATATTTTTCTTCTGTATATATTTTAACACTTATTACTTTTTCAGGATGTCAGTTTCGATTTCGGGATTCCCTCATGGGTGTTTGATATTGGCATCGATCAATCAAAAGTAGAGAAAAGAAGCCATTACGATTTCGAGTGAAAATGACGATCTTCCGTTTGTCCTCAAATGTTATATAAATCATTAATTATACATTTATTCACATGTCAAGCATACAGTTTACCTCATAATTCATTTTCGTTAGAGTAACGTTATTTTTATGTCGGCCCTTCACTTCCTGGATTATGGCACCTTATTGTACGTTTATTAGCTTGTTTTCTGTCCATCTGGGAGTATCTTGCATGTCAACCGCGTGTTAACAATTTCAGTGTTTCAGTAGGGTTTCGTCAATATCTTTTTTGAAGAACGCGACTTCCCACCTTTTATGAAAACCATCTAACCGCAACGGCACTCTTGTTATTCATTCGGAGTATGAACCCTATTGATTTCAAAATTTGGGGCAGTTATTGAGTGAGCAATAGACTGGGCAACTGAAAATGAGTATACGTCATGCAGCGTACTACGAGGGCCGAGATATGTAGGTTATATTATGTACATCACCGCGGACAACATTGATAATCAATGTGCAATATTCACTGTGTGAATAGTACTGTTATTGATAATCAATGTGCAATATAATATGGTGGGGGTAATTTCGTCCAGGCGGCGATGTGTCAGCCAACTTTCGGTAAAGGTTTGACCTCTATACTCTATATTACTAAACAACGTTTGCCACGAGTTATAGGGACTTTAAGAGATTGTGTAACTGATTGTACATACATATTATTGTTCTTAAATACTTAAACCCGCTCTTTTTCTCTCTCTCCCTCTCTCCATTTATTATTATTATAATTTCTTCCTCTCTCTCTCTCCATTGATTATTATTATTATTAATCTCAGTGGCAGGACCATCCATGCATGGCATAACCATTATTCGTAAAAGGAAATCTTCAGAAAGACCGGAGGTAGGGTGGCCGAATGGTTAACACGTGCGCGTTGAATCATGAGGTCTGTCATTGAGTCAAGTGCCGTGGTTTCGATTCCTCGCTTATACAGTGACAAGGAGTAGGGGCGCCTGTGCAACCTCGTGGGTTTTCTCTGGGTCCTCCGGTTTCCTCCTCCCACTGCTAAAGACCAGTAAGTGCAGGTGAATTATTGAAATGAAATTGAACCATATGTTAGTCCAGAAATGACCTAGTTTGTATCTAGAGGACATTAAATCCCATTTCTCCTTCTCTCTCTCTCTTCAGAAAGACATTCAACTAGTGTTAATACAATTCCCCAAATAGAAACACGACCAACCCCTAGTACCAGTAGTAGTACAGATACAGTATCAGCTTTGGGTCTACAAACAGTAACACAGCCATCTCCTAGTACCAGTAGTAGTACATATACTGGATCAGCTTTAGTTTCACAAACAGAAACTTTACATGGTAATACTAGTACAGGTAAATATATATGAAACATAAAAATTAACAATCTTTATAAGACTATAAGGATAAACCCCCCCTGTCCAGTTATAAGTATAAACCTTATATTGTCCAGTTATGAGAGTAAACCCTATATTGCCCAGTTATGAGGGTAAACCCTATATTGCCCAGTTATAAGGATAAACCCTATATTGCCCAGTTATAAGGATGAACCCTATTGTCCACTTATAAAGATAAATATATTTCAAACACAAACATTAAAAGGGCAAAGCCTTTGTACCAGTTAGAAGGATAAGACCTATGGACCAGTTATGCTCCATGCCAATACGAATAAATCCCATTTTTTTAGCTTGTGGACCCTTAGAGATCACAATTTGTAACCAATTTGAAAAACCGTTCCAATATATCAGCGTTACACCATATTGACCAGTTACAAGGATAGGATAAACCCTGGCATATTGACCTGCAGTTACAAGGATAAACCCAGGCATATTGATCAGTTACAAGGGTAAACTCTACTGGCCATACATAAGGATAATCCACATTGACCAGTTAATGTTGATTTAATTTCATGATTTATGTCCTCCAAATGCTGCAGTTTCAAATACGTCCATACTGTTTTAGTCAGAACCATATTAAAATACAGTCTTGTTTTAGTTAGACCCATATTAAAATATGTTAATACCATTAAACACCAAATGTATCTAGATATATAGATGTTGATATAGCTCAGTAGGTTGTATGTTGTCAGTGATTATTCTCAGTCTGGCATTGTAGTTATTTGATATTGTACTTCCATAACATTTCCAAATCCCGAACCTCTCCTGTTACCCAATGTTTGTTTTATTTTCAGAAATCCGGGTATCCATTATAGGAAAGACAGGGGTTGGTAAGAGCGCATTAGGGAATGCGCTGTTACAACACAATATCTTTAAATCACAACAACAGATTAACTCAGTAACATCAGAATGTGGTTCAGGACAACGACATCTTCAATTAAATGGTGTAGATACCTTACTAAAAGTTGTGGATACACCAGGCTTGTTTGACATGGGTAACAGTAACAAAACAATAGCCAAGGAAATCGTTAAATGTATTAATATTTTATCACCAGGGCCGCATTTATTTATTATGGTATTTAGAATTGACTACAGACTCTCACAAGAGGACATAAAAGTTCTTGAATATTTTAAAAATACTTTCGGTGAAATGATTGATAAATTTGCCGTTGTGGTGTTTACTGGGAAAGATCAACTGGATGATCGAAGTGAAGAGGATGCTATGCGTGAACATCATGCTCAGTTATCAACATATAGTGATGTTTTTAAAAACCGTCGATTCGCAACGATCAATAACAAAGATAAAACAGAAGGCAAGAAGAAGGATGTTGATAGAATCTTACAATTACTTCAAACAACTATAGAGAATAATGGTGGGGACTTTTATAAAAACGAAATGTACGAAGAGGCGAAGAAATTATTTGAAACGAGAATCCAAGACCAAGAAGAAGACAACGAAAAGGCATTGGCTGAGTTAGATAAACTTAAGAAAGAACGAATTGAAATGGCACAGCAACTTGGACATTTCAAACAACAAGAAGAGGAACACAAACGACGGGAAAAAGATGTCAGCAATCGGGAGCTAGAACTGAAACGAAGAGAAGATTTGATACAGAGGTTGAGTTTACCAAGTGGACAGTCTTACACAGAACAAGCCAGCACATCAGCATATCAACACGGTACGTTATTTACCATCATCATGGATGATATTAACCTGATATTATATATCATTATCCTCTGAATGATATTACATGATATTAAAGTAGCCTAGCCTTTAACTTAATATCATCCACAGTCTTCAACATTGTAAACACGACTTGTCGGTCAATTTAAATCTACATTGATAGTGTGATTTTACCGTGAAACGATGGGCTTCTGATATCCAATATTTAATCGCGCGCCAGAATGCTTTTGAGCGCCATTGGTAATGAAGTGATTGGATGAACGAGGTTAAACATATCCCACAAGGGAAGACTACCGACGTAGACTGGAATAACCAGACGCCAAAGACTGCCATTCAATTTGTGCTCTCCCGCGGAGATAACTGATTAGATATTACAATAAAACCAGAAACGATTGAATGTAAATCAGTTTATATACACTCATATTACATTATTATAATGGTTGCATCTCTATAGTAATATCTGTTTAACACTTATACGTATTGTTTTCTACTCGGTACCTTGACCTCAACTTGTTTATCACATTCATCTGATTTCATTATGTTATATAGTTGTCATCACAGGGGAATAAGTTGCATAAAATTATAATAAAGTTTTTGTTTCTGGACCCAGAGTTACTCTTAAGGTTTATGGTTAAGTGCAGTACGTCATTTCCTGGAGTTACTCCCATATTTAGGTTTATAAAATGGTGGCCAATCATAATTAAAGATTTGGTTTGATGCTTTCCGGAAATGCATTATATTATATGGCATTGAAACATCAGTGATATTTTTTTGCATGAAGTCCATTTTCAAATAGTAGTCATTACACCTGAATTTTAATGACACAAAATATTTGTTATAGACACGGGTATAATATCTTGGTGTTTATTGTTTCAGTTGAATACCAAGAGAGCCCACCTGATGCGAAGAGGAGAAAAGTTATAGCTAGAAGAGAGAAAGGGAAGATGTCACCTGAAGATGATTGGAGAATAATATCAAACTACATGTATTTAACCGAGAATCTGAATCCTCTACACCAATTATTAGACAGCTTAATTCAAATGTATGTTCTAAATGAAGATGACCTGGAAAAAATCAGGAGAGCGGAATCTAGCGCCGGTACAAAGGCAATGATTCGTCAATTTCTAGATATTCTTCGAACTTGTGGTAGACATGCATATCCTAAATTTATCATTTGTTTAATTAAATCAGGATATGGAGAAGTGGCTGAACAATTAACATCGGGTAAGTAGAATAGCACAATTTATGTTTGATACAATTATTTTAGTTTGTCAGTGATATTCTAAGATATATTATTGTGGTATTTATAATAATTTCAGATGTTGATATGGATGGAATAGTTAAAAGGGAAGAGAAACAATTACGGACAGAGAAAAAATATTTACAGTTACAGAAAAAACTTCAACAAATAAAACAGGAGAGTGAACAGGCGATTCACATATCTGCCAAAGAGAACCGGAGGATAAAAACGACGTTGAACTCATGGAGGATAGCTTTAAAAACAAAAACCAATATCTTGGTTCGATTCAAGTCCGAGATGAGAACGAAAACGAAGCTACTGGACCAACTAAAAGAGGAAAGGGACACACGAAATGAGGATCTACAAATGACGAAAGTGAGAAACAGTATTTTGTACGATGAGCTGGACCGCATTTATGAACAAAATGTTATAATAGAAGGAATTAAAGAGGAATTTGTAGATGATGATAATGGACAAGGTAAACCCGGATAAACTTTTATTTGGTAATTAACAACCAGTAGTGTTTCTTGGCCAATCAGTCTGTATATTTAGTATTTTTGTTGTAAAACAGATGTTACGTTCAGAGCAGAGTATGTTTTGGCCAATTGGGGTATGCAGTAACTTCTCTCTTTTATGGTATAATATCCTGTTTTAATTTTATCTTGCCCACTCTTGTTTTCTTGGTTTCTTGCTGCTTGTCAAAAAGTTAGTTGAATTGAACAATGTATTAACGAGAGAACCGTTTACACTATCTGATATTTATACCATTCCTTATCTCTACAATTCTTTATCCAGTGACAAATGGCGTACCTGATCTTATTGAAGTACGATTGGTTTGGTGCGTTTTGATATGTATACTATTCCTTATTTCTACAATTCTTTACCCAAGCGACAAATGGCTATCTGATCTTATAGCAGTAAGATGTGTTTAGTGCGTTTTGATTTTGAAGATTTAAATTTGACATTGTTCACATTATTATTACGTGTTTATACCCATTTAGTTTATATATGTCTTTATTTATTCTTTAATATCGAAATATTTCAGATGTAGAAATAAATAAATCCGATTATTCGTCAGTTGATATTCAAGCAAGGGATGGGAAACTGCTGGTAAAACAAGAACCTCTAGATGTACATCAGGCTGAAGATGTAAATGAGACTGATGATATAGATCGTAGTCTTCCAACAGATGATACACCTGTTGACGGCATTACAAAAGGTTGTCAACTTAATATAAAATATGATATATTCCTACCTAGGCAGTCCATTTATTGTTGTCGTTTTGGCTTTACTAATGGATTTTGTACCTGATTCCCGTCCCGTTAAGTAGTAGACTTTATATGATCACATTTTGTTTATAATAACCATTAATTAAAACATTGATAATAATAAACACTAATTATTATTACATCCACAATTGTTCTAAATATGGCACAGCTTTGTTGACATGAACAAATATATAGTAATTAATCAGTTTGCCTGATGTAAACACGAGTTTGTCTTCTAACTTTACGTCCAACAACTTGTCTGGTAGACCATAATGTGTGGGGTTGGTTTTTATAGCTCTACTAAACAAAAACAGATAATATGTTTAAAATACGATTCATGGTGCATTAACCTTAATATGTATGCGTTTTAATTTTATCTATTTTAGACAAAGTTGTTGAAAATACTGGCTTGTTTGTTAAACAAGAACCACAAGATGTAAATGAGACTTGTGACGTAACACAACCAACTGATTTGTGGTCTACTACAAGACCAGATATAGATCAGACTCATGAAGTATCCCAGCCAGCTGGTGATCAACAAGGTATATCAGCATATCAACACGGTACGTTTTTACTATCATCACCATCACCATGAATGCCATTAACATGATGGTATATCACCATCCTCTGTATGATATTATATGATATTAAAGTAGCATAGCCTTTAACTCAATATCATCCACAGTCTTCGACATTGCAAATACAACTTGTTCGTCAATTTAAATCAACGTTGATGGTGTGATTTTACCGCGAAACGATGGGTTTCTGATATCCAATATTTAAGACATAATGAACATTTTGAACTTGGCCCATGAATCGCGCGCCAGAATGCCTTGGAGCGTCATTGGTAATGAAGTGATTGGATGAACGAGGTTAAACATATCCCACAAGGGAAGACTACCGACGTAGACGGAATAACCAGACGCCAAAGACTGCCATTCAATTTGCGCTCGTCGCCGGGGATAACTTATTAGATATTACAATAAAAACAGAAACGACGATTGAATGTAAATCAGTTTATATACACTCAAAGTACATTATTATAAGCGTTGCATCTGTATAGGCATATATGTTAAACATCTAAGCGTTGCATCTGTATAGTAATATCTGTTAAACGCCTGGTGCGGGGATATACATATTGTTTTCTACTCGGTACCTTGACCTGAATTTGTTCATCCCATTTATCTGATTTCATTATGTTATATAGTTGTCATCACAGGGGAATAAGTTGCATAAAATTATAAGAGTTGTTGTTTCGGGACTCATAGGTACTCTTAAAGGACAATATTGGCGTTTGTCACTTCCGATTCAGGAAACCTGTATTACTCAGCTATCGTAGCAATGATCTCTGTGTTAAAATTATATTTGGAACATGTTTAACCAGCTCTATCACATATGTCATAATGACTGGCACCAATATTGTCCTTTCAGGTTTGTGGTTATGAAATGATGTTTAAGTACAGTACGTCATTTCCGGAAGTTACTCTCATGTTTATGTTTATAATTAAAGATTTTGTTTAATGCTTTCCGGAAATGCATTATATTATATGACATTGAAACATCAGCGATAATTTCTTGCACGTAGTTCATATTCGAAAAAGTAGTCATTACACCTCAACCATAATTAAGTTGTTATTTTAATGGTTGATAACAAAACTTGTTGCTATAATATTATTTGTAATCATTCAAATTGTTATTGAAGCCACAGGTATAATATCATCATGTTTATTGTTTCAGTCCAATACCAAGAGGGTCCATATTATTCTAAGAGGAGAAAGTTTACAGCTCGAAGAGAGAAAGGGAAGATGTTACCTGAAGATGAACGTAAAATAATATCTAACTATGGGTATTTAACCAAGAATCTGAATCCTCTACATCCATTATTAGACAGCTTAATTGAAATGTATGTTCTAAATGAAGATGACCTAGAACAAATTAGAAGAGCGGAATCTAAGGGTGGAAGAAAAACAATGATTCGCCAATTTCTAGATATTCTTCGAACTTGTGGTATAAATGCATATCCTAAATTGATCTGTTGTTTAAAGATATCAGGATATGGTACAGTAGCCGAACAATTAGAATCGGGTAAGCACAATTTACATAGGTAACCATTTTTACACGAACACATTTTTGACAAAACGTGAAATATTAGTTTATATTCCAAAGATATCGGTTCCGTTACTGCGTTACTATTTCATAATTTGTGAACGTAATATCACAATAATTATTCATATAATCTTGTAATTAGTTTTTGCCCATGACTTATTTGAAGCATTTAAAGGTCAATATTGGTGTCAGTCATTATTACATATTAATTATGTAACAGAACTGGTTGAACAAATTTGAAATATAATTTTAACACAGATCATTGCTACAGTAGATGTGTAAAAAACACGGGAAGGAACGGGAAGGGATGACAAAACTATATCCTTCTATATAACTGACTAAGTAACGAGCGATAACAGACAAACGGTCTAATTTCATTTCAGTAGTAATTCCGTTGAAGTTAAAAAATTGTTATATGAGAGTATATTCGACAATTCTAAAATAGAGTTGTCTGTCACTTGATAAAAGAAAACGAGAACAATCCTGTGCATTCCCTTGTTTTTATTCAGTCTGTATTTAATAAAAACATAGTAATGCACGGAATTTTCTAATTTGAAATGGGATTGAACGTCAAACATGTCTTGACAAATGTAAATGGGTATCACCATGTAGCGTGCTACGAGATATTTATGTTACTTTATAAGACCTACGGATACCTAAACGTCTTCTCTTTGCCTGCGCAAATAATTCTGTTATTGTTAATCTCTGTGCAATGTAGAGAGATATCATTTTGCCCAGACGCGATGGCTCTGCCAACTTTCATCAGAGGTTTCATCTCTGGAATCTATTTTACTACACACCTTTATCGTGAATTACAGGGACTTCAACAGTTTATGTTACTGAGAAGCCGTATATATTATTGTTCATATATATTTAGATACTTACTTTATTAATATATCTCTCGCTCTCTAAGAAAAAAAATAATGTTATTTTTCAATATATTTTTTAAATTCAGATACTGTAATACTGCACCATACAGATCAGAGATATGGAGAAATGTCTGGTTCGTCCCAAGGGAATCAGTTCATGATTAGAGAAATGGCAGATAGACGCCACTATGATGTATCACATTCAGGAGTCGGGAACAGATCAGAGATACACACTGATGAGGTTGATGTTGTGAAAGTCAAGATCAAGAAGGCACACAGCCCTGTTATTTTATCGAAGGTGAAACCTGGCTATCGAAACGTTCAAATAAAGGAGGAAACATTATCAACATGTAGACGTAATGCTAAAAATATTGCCAATTGTGTTTTGTATGAGAACCAAAAGTCCGTTTTTAACCATGAATTAGAAGACGAACATGAACAAGGTAGAATATGTATATTTATATAATTCTTAAAGTGATTTTCCAAGTAAAATAGCACAATTTACATCCAAACAATTTTATTTTTATACGCCCACAATTTCATGTTGACGTATATTGTCGTCGCCCTTGTTGGTCCGACTACATTTAGTTTGTGGACACTCTACAGGTCACAATTTTTATCTGATGTTGACAAAACCTGAAACGTACGTTTATATCCCAAAGATCTCGACTCCTTTCCATAGATTATGGAGCCCGATTGTACAAAATCATAATTTTATTCAACTTTAAAAAGCATTCACTTATATCACCTGTACACCCCAATGCCTAGCTTGCAAGTGAGCTACGAATGTCGCGAATTGTCCCGAATACAAACTTTTTCGGTTCGTAGACGGTTCCTGAATGATTCTTATTTGGTTCTTACACATGCGTATTGTTCGTAGGAGTTTTTGTAAGAATCAGATAATAATTATTTACGATCTTCAAGAACAATCTTCGATTTATCTACGAATTGGAATCGTAGCATTCATAGAGGCCGTGAAAACCGGGCGAAATGACAACATTAACATTGACTATGCCGAATGAAGGCTTCGACAGCGATCGGTGGCTTTTGATAGCATTTGGGGACCCAAGAATATGCTACTTATTCTTAACTGAATCGCTACAATTCGTAGAGAATTCTTTAATTTTGTACCTTTATCGTAACCCTGTCTTGCCATTCGATATATTTTGCACTGATTACCTGCGAATTATCTTAATTCTTTAGTACACTATTCGTAACTGCCTCGTAGCTAACCTCGTCTCTCCACGAACTTTCAAATATGTTGCCGAATTGTCACGAATTCGGGGCGATTCGTGGTATTCGTAGCTCACTTGAAAGCCAAGAATAATGATGGTTGAATATAAATTTCGTCAAAATCGGACAGAAACTGGGTGTTCAAGATCATAAGACGAAGGAGCAATTCAGCGATTTATACCAATACCATGTGATGCTACATCCTATAACTAGTGGTATCACAGCCTTATGTCCTAATACCATGTTTATATAATACCCTGTCTATATGCTACATCCTATAACTAGTGGTATCACAGCCTTATATTCTAAAACCTTGTTTATATAATACCCTGTTGATATGCTACATCCTATAACTAGTGCCAGTCCAACCTCGTGGGTTTTCTCCGGGTCCTCCGGTTTCCTCCCACTGCTAAAGACCCCTACGCGCAAGTGAATTCTTGAAATAAAATTAAACCATGTTAGTGCCGAAATGACCTAGTTTGTGTCGAGTGGACGTTAAACCCCATTTCTCTCTCTCTCTCTCTCTCCCTATACTAGTGGTATCACAGACTTATATCCTAATACCATGTTTATATAATACCATGTTTATATGCTACAACCTATAACTAGTGGAATAACGGCCTTTTAAAAATCCTAATCCCATGTTTATATATTATGTTTTAGAAGATTATGTTAACACAACTGAGCTGAACACTAACCCTAAATCACAGGCAATACTGGGCGCTGTTATTCAAACTACAGATGATTCACCACGTGATGTAACAGTAGACATGATTGATGATCAGAAAGCTGGAAAGGATGGCTCAGGTAGTCCACTGGTCATAAAGCAAGAACCACAAGATCTGGATGATCAACAAGGTATAACACAATATTCACACATCATATAAACTGTTACAATAATTGATCTAATATATGCACTAGTAAAAACTGTCACCATTTGTTCAACGGACATTATAGATACCCATGTTCAAAATATTGAGGTATTACATACGCTGAGTCTGTTATCGAATCTCATTCAGATGTCTTGAATAAATTATTGTTTTAACATCATAAGGTTGAGGACAGATGATTGATATGCTTAGCTTAGGATCGTTAAAGTCTCCTCCGATTAAGATGGATGAGGTGTGGTATAAACATACAAGTACATAAGTTCTAGATTCGAATCATGGCATGGGCAGGGCAGAACTGTCAAAAATTTTGTAGTTTAATTCTGACGTCAGTGATAAAACATGTTAGACTTCGTAGGAAATTCACTCCAGTTATTTGGATGGAACGAACGAACTCGAAGAAAGTAGGATGAAAGACAACTATTCCTCAGAGGTGATTTAACACTTAATTCTAAACTATCAATATCTGGTAAAACCAAATCGTCTTCTAAGTTCATTACAAATGAAATAAATATTACACTCACAATAACCACATTTTAAGACTTGTAGAGTTAACGTCATTAAAGTGTAATTTTCATGATGAGTACTTATTATGCCGTTGTCCCGGTCTGTCCGAAACTCCGTTTATTGACACTCTACAGGTCAACATTTCTTCAGATTTTTATGGATCTTAATTTATATATTTGTATCCCAAAGATCTGGAATGGGTTCGATTTGGGCGCGTATCTGACATTAACTTCCTGGATTATTACCTGTGTTTGTACGAACTTTAGGCTGTGAGCCCTCTATAGATCATATTTGTCTTTAGTTTTTAAGAAGCTTGAAATGTATGTTTATATGAGAGGGACGCAATGACGAGCTTAATTGCGTCATGGTTTTGAGTTTTCGCGCCCCCTTGGTTTTTTTTTTTTGCGCCCCTCGCAAATGGCAAAACATCACGCTGTTTCAATGCGGTTTTCAACATTATAATCATAATCAAAATGCTTAACCAGTATCAAACATACCGTGGGTCAGATATGCTACATATCGACTCTACCATATTCCACACAGTCCAATATTACCCAGTGGCAATGGGAGGAACCGTCCACTCCCTCACCCCCGCACACACTGAGTTCATATGTCTTTTCGATTTGGGTAGGCTTTCAAATATATGTTCAGCAACTGTAGATGTGTTATGGTAAATCGGACCGTAACTTTCTGTAGTCCAATTTTGATTAAACTTAAAATGTACGGTATGTTAAAGATCAAACGATTTTAGATGAATTCGATTATGGCCCCTGTTCTTTACACAAAATTTGTTACTAACTAGAACTGCGAAGCAGTAATGACGGGTTTCACTGGTACCACGTTACCATTGAACTTATGTCACTTTTGGTGCCATGTTACCCTTGAACTCATCGCTTCCAGTACCAATGGAACCGATAAATAGATATGCACAAACTTTGCACGCATCAAATAAAATGGAAGCAGAATCAACCAAATCCAGCAATGTCAATTCATTTTATACATGTGTTACATGTAAGTGATCCTGACAAAATTACATTACTTCCGGTGATAATGAAAAAGTTCAATTAGTTTTATGAAATCAGTAATGGCATAAGGCATCACATGGTGAAAATTTAATGTAAATCGATAATAATTGCCACTTTTATAGACCAAAAACCTTAAAAGGTGACTTGTAGAAAATCGTCTATTTCTCTGCAACCGTACAAGTTAGAAACCATATTTTGGTATCTGTATGATCGTCTGGGTTGAATCTATGCGTTGACTGGAATCAAATATCATAATTTTAAATACTTTACAAATCAGACGCATTTGAATAAAATATCTGCTTTGGAGGCTAAAAATACAGTTTTCGCCAAAATGACGTTACTTCCGGTGATAATGAAAATCTTAAATTACTTGTATGAAATCGTAAATGACATTTGGTATCACACAGTGAAAATTTTATGAAAATCGAATAATAATTGACACTTTTATGGACCAAAAACCTTGAAAAGTGACCTGTTGAAAATCGCCTATTTCTCCGCAACTGAACAAGTTAGAAACCATTTTATGATATCTATATGATCCCATGGGTTCATTCTATTAGTTGATTAGAATCAAATATCCAAATTTTAAATAAATAACAAATACGACTCACCTGAATAAATTATTTGTTTCGAAAGCTATAAATATAGTTTTTGCCCAAATTACGTCATTTCCGGTGATATTGAAAATGTTAAATTGGTTTGACCTAGTCACAATTGACATTACGCATCAAATGGTATCACTTTTATGATAATCCAATAATAATTGACTCTTTTACAGGCAAAATAGCGTAAAAAGTGACCATTTCTCGGTAACTGCTCATATTACAAACTAATTTTGAGATAGATTCTCTTCGTATGAATAGATTCTCTTCGTATGAATTAATGCTACAAGTTTATGAAAGTCAAAAAGAAATATTTTAAAATATGAAACGCCTGAATGGGTTGTAAATAGCTCAATTTTACACCGTTTTTCACCTTTAAACCGAAATAGCGCAAAAATGAAATCGAAATTAAAAAAACGGCTTCCGACTTTTTTTGCCCCTTTACATGGCACAACTTCTTTCTTTTTACTTATTTTAAAAAAATAATATTTGCTTTCGAAAAGACGTACCTAACCGCCAAAATTGTAGTTTTGGTCAAAATTACGTCATTTCCGCTGCTGACAGAAAACTTTATCGGTAATAAAAAAGTTGAGACTTTGCACCATTGAGCATATGAACTTTGTTTTATACAAATCGAGCAATAAATAATTAACCTAGAACCCATAAACTGAATTAGCCAATAGCGGCCAAGGTGAATTATCGATACAAACATTTTTCATATTTTTGCTCAAATTACATGACCCTTTAATTATAGGTAAAGCGCCATAAAAAAATATTAATAAATAAAAAAGTTTTTTGTCAAAATTTAAATTTTCAAAATTTGGCGCCTAATATCTTCGAAGATTAATCGAAAATCAAAAATCTAAACAATCGTGGCTATTTGCCGTGTCTCGGGCTTTGTCAAAATGTATCAAATGTTAAAATCCGACAATTATTGTTAATATTACGGCAACTTCAGTGATTTCGGACATTTCGCATTGTCACAGAAAGTTCGAAATAGCTTTAATCTCTAAGTCACACCCACTTTCCCATTAAAACCGAAGACATCGAGTTGATCCGACAAATAGTTTCTGAGATATGCTCAAGTGGGAAAAAAAAAATAATAATAATAAGAATAATAATCTTAACAAAAACAGTGTGAAACCCTAATAATAAGTGAAAGGGGGACTGCACCACAACCAATTACACAAAACAAATCTACGGACAAGACACAATACACAGAAATCACAAACAAACGTTTGTGGGCTTTCTAGTGTGAGGAGCTGGTCGAAAAAGTTCATCGTGATTTTCTGTTCTGGTTGTCTCTCCTCACATATATATAGTCGTCCTGATGGGACATCAAAATCGGGGCCCGGTGTCAGCATAGGCGTCACATAAAATATCACTTTGCAGTTGGAATTCGATATGGGAGTAGGCGGTAGCATCGCTGTCCGGGCAAAATCACCCCCATAGAACACTGTATGGCATAGTAGGGCATATTCCTTTCTTCATTATCCCAGTCGGGACAGAACAGTATAGGACGGAAAACCCTATTTCGTTTCATTTCCAGTGTGTTTAATTGGGAATAATACCATTTTTTATATATTATCCTGATTCGATGTAATATGGTATGTAATTTGTGATCTATGAAGGTTATTGTCGTATTAGTTTTCCGTAAAGATCATCTGGTCACATTATGGTCGAAATCTAATAAGATCATGTGACATAGTGTGATATGCATGACGTCATTATGGATTCAATGACGTCGAGAACACGCTTACGTCATCCGTGGCAACCAATAATGCGACGTATCTAAAAGTACCAATTATACAACAAGGTTAAATTTTGAAACGTTCTGTTATTTGTTTCGACCTGTTTATAAATGCCATTAATACCAACCTCTATGGTCAGTGATTCAAATCCAACATTTATGTTACTTATTACATTTTAGTCTTATACATAATGTACCTCAATTAATATATTTCAGATATTACAACTTTATTGACACCAGGTCACCACTCACCAAATCGAGATTCTTGTCTACAATCCACTTCCCAACATCAGGATACAGAGTCTGGTCAACCATCAACATCATCGAGTCTAGATTCTAGTCATATTAATCAACGTAAAGATGATACAACACCAGTTAAAACATCACCTGTTTACGATGATGATAAAGTTGTAAGACCAGTAGATAAATATACATTATTTAATGTTTGTGAACATGATACATTAGACAAATTAAAATCTATTTTATCAGATAAAACAATTGATATAAATAATACATGTGATCTAGGTAGAACCGCCATGTTTTATTGTATTAAATCGGATATCCAACCTATAGAGAAACTAGAATTATTGATATCATATGGTGCTAAACTTGATGTTAAAGACAAGGATGGTAATAGTATATTACATGTAGCGTGTGAGTATGGATGTGTAGAAACTGTTAAATTGTTGTTAAATACAGGTAGGGTAGATATAGAGAGTATGGATAATGATGATGAAACTCCAATACTTCTAGCTATGCGTTCACGTCACCAACCTGTAGAAAAACTAGAATTATTGATATCATATGGTGCTAAACTTGATGTTAAATATACGTTTGGTGATAGTTTATTACATGCAGCGTGTATGATTGGATGTGTAGAAACTGTTAAACGGTTGTTAAATACAGGTAGGGTAGATATAGAGAGTATGAACCATTTTAAAGAAACCCCAATATTTAATGCTATATTTTCATTTGAAAAACCTATAGAGAAAGTAGAATTATTGATATCATATGGTGCTAAACTTGATGTTAAAGATGGGGATAGTAATCGTTTATTACATGAAGCGTGTGAGTATGGATGTGTAGAAATTGTGGAATGGTTGCTAAATACAGGTAAGGTAGATATAGAGAGTAAGGGTAATGATGATGAAACCCCAATAATATGGGCCCTGTGTTCAACAAAACAATCAATACAAAAGGTCAAACTATTATTAGATAAGGGTGCTCAACTAGATCATTCCTCCAGTATACTTCACTATGCCTGTCAATATGGCAGTCTAGATTGTGTAAAGTATTTTATAAACACAAAAGAATTCGATATAGAAAGTAGGAATGATAAAAATCAAACACCTCTATTTGATTGTGTTTTGACAAAACGAAATAATTTTAAAAAGAAAATAGAATTATTGATGTCTATGAATGTTAATAAATTGGTTAGAGATATAAATAATTTGAGTGTATTACAATTTGCTCGTCAACATGTTAAAAAACCACGTGTACAATATCTTATTAAAAATGGTTTTACTGATTAATGAATAGCTTATAGAAAACCGTAAATTATAAAATTATTTTTCTAACCACATCTATTGCGTGGCAAAATACAGTCATTTGAATGAGACATGCAAGTAAAAGATCCCTGGAGAGTTTGAATTCGATAAAAGAGTAGGCTTTGTCGCCGCTGCCCGGGCAAAATGTCCCTCATAGGATACTGTATGACGTACGCCAGTCTTCGTTACAAGCCCAGGATGTTAAACCCCATCGTAATAATTCTATGTAAATATACATACCAATAATATCATACTTTCATAGGTAAATCTTGTTCACGATAAATTAAAAACTAGTCTCGAACATCATGACATTTAAACCACTGTTATATTTTAATATTGTATACCATATATAGACATTGACCTGTATTATAGACATTGACCTGTATATATATATTTATATCACAGTTATTATTGGATTATATCTGTATAAATATTTATCATATATGAATAAACTGAAGGTAAATAAAACAAACTATATTTATTTTATTGGTAACGTTGATCAATAGACATGTGACTGAATGTAGGACATGTTGTTAATTCTGGATCCGCCTCTGAAATACACCGATGTTAGATCGCAATTTTACCTGTATACCAGTCATAACATCAAGTATTTGCCAAACCGAGTCTATATTGTAAAATACTAAACCATTTAAAAATCTGTTTCCCAATACTCATCAGCCCCCAACTATACTAACACAATCTACACCCATCTTATTCATTGTGATAACTTATAGATACTCTAAATACGAGCCTACCTTTCAAAACAACAAACACCATCAGGACGACAATAGATACAGGTGCTCTCATGAAGAAGGGAGAGAGATAAAGAAATGGGGTTTAACGTCCACTTACACAAACTAGGTCATTTCGGGACTAACATATGGTTTAATATTTCAATAATTCGCTTGCGCGTAGGGGTCTTTAGCAGTGGGAGGAAACCGGAGGACCCGGGGAAAACCCACGAGGCTGGACAGGCGACCTTACTCCTTGTCACGTACAACCGGGGATTCGAAACCACGCAAGTTGACTCAATGATAGACTTTTTGATACAGCGCGTACACGCTAACCATTCAGCCACCCCCCCCCCCCCCATGAAGAAGGATTTACAAAATACGTGCAGTGTGCTATCCTTATATCGAATTCCAACCGCCCAGGGTTTATTTTACAGTAGGACGTTAAACCCCATTTCACTTCATTTATATAGACCATAAATTGTCGTAAAATAGTGACGTGTTTATTTTACAGTAGGACGTTAAACCTCATTTCATTTCATTGATAATGACCATAAATTGTCGTAAAATAGTGACGTGTTATGTTATAGTTTATGTTCCTGGTGTATATAAGTTGCTGTCTGATTTATGTTCCCATGTATTTATGTTAGGTTTTATTTACTAAAACGATAGTCTGTTATCTGTAGTGTTACATGCAGAAGAGTTTACACCATGCCGTGTCGTAATAAGGACATTTTGAACGGACAGAGGCGCTACGACTTATTCTAATATCAAATTCTAACTGTTAACGGTTCTTTTACGTGTAAGTCAATGTTGTTACATTGGACCCCGATTTTTCGTTCCATCAAAACGACTAAATACTGTACTTGTCAGGCCATCCGTCCTAAATGACGACTAAATACTGTCCTTGTCAGGCCCTCCGTCGTACACAGCGACTAAATACTGTACTTGTCAGGCCATCCGTCCTACATGACGACTAAATACTGTCCTTGTCAGGCCCTCCGTCGTACACAGCGACTAAATACTGTCCTTGTCAGGCCCTCCGTCCTACACGGCGACTAAATACTGTCCTTGTCAGGCCATCCGCCCTACACCACGGCGACTAGAATCTGTCCTTGTCAGGCCATCCGCCCCACACGGCGACTAGAATCTGTCCTACACCACGGCGACTAGAATCTGTCCTACACCATGGCGACTAGAATCTGTCCTTGTCAGGCCATCCGCCCCACGCGGCGACTAAACACGACTTAAATTACCGAGGACATTCCTCGGCCAACACACGGAGCGAACCGGAGAACCACAGGATTGCAACCGACCACGACAGCCTCTAATATATATAGAACTTGATGTACACCAATATAAACTATAATAACGTATACAATATTTGGTGAACAACTATATAGGCTATACCGTCTTTATTAGCGCAGTCGGAATGAAAAGTAGGACGTTAAACCCACGTGTTACACAAACCATACGAGGGACCAGGGATTTGTTAACAACGTGTCCAATCTTAAAGATACAGTGAAGTCGATCACAAAGGACTTGTCTAAAATTTCCAGTGGCGTGAATAACTCTGACGAACAAGTCGAATTCATGAACGAAGTCAATAAATTTAATTCGGATAAGCTGAAGACATGAAACAAACTGAAATCGGTAAGAAAAATCTATTTCTATAAAATGTTGAAATGTAAAGAAAGGGCCGAACTATACCACGTTTTCTTAAATATGGTCAACCCATTTGTGCCCCGGAAACTTCGTGAAAATCCAAAACCAAAAAGTTACGAGACGGAAAGTTAAAGAAATGAACCGAGTACACAGAGAATGAAATAGATTGTTTGTTTGAAAACTCTGCAAAGGAATCGGAGACCCTTTTAAAAGCAGACACTGATATTTCTAGTCGTATCGTAACCCATCCAAACGAAGAGGTCAAAACGTCACTCAAATTAGTTTGGTCCAAGGAGATTAAAATGGAGGAGGACAAATCCAATAGAATCTGGAATAAAAATAAAATCTTCCATTCGAGTTTACCAACTAAAGAACACGTCGTGTGCTACAAACAGATTATCTTATTTAATTTGTATTATTTTAAAACCCTTTGTCCCTAGAGTTAAATCATATATAAAGGATGTCATTGACTTCCTTAATAAACTGTCTCAGGAAATAAACGACGAGGAAATATTTGTAACATTGGATGTCTGTAGTCTCTTTAGCAATATCAAACATAATTTGTGTCTGGAGGCAGTCAATTATTGGATAGATAGATTACCCCAATTTCGAAATCTCCGTTTTTCAAAAACGTTCATTCTAAAAGCTATCGATATTATTCTCCGGGACAATACTTTTGAATCAGGAAAAGGAAATTTTATACAAGTTAAAGGCTGTGATATGGGCTCAGTTTGTTCACCACTGAAGAACAATTATATACAATAACTGAAAACATATTTTGTATTAACTATAGAAACTACATCGAAGAGAGATTAATATCTTCCTCATTTGAAAAACTAATCTTGGCCAAATAGCAGATTGGCACAAACTTTTAAATGACCTAGATATTAAAATATGAAATTCACTATTGAAACTAGTTATAAGGAAATTACATTTCTAGATGTTCTCATAAAAAGATTTAATAATCGAATCGTTACAGATATTTACTCTAAAGCGACAGATACTAACCATTATTTCTCTTACACAACATGTCATCCTCGCCATTTTAAAATTATAAAACCCTTTTCTCTTTTTGCCAGAAAACTATTCACTATAATTTTAGACAAAGATATCATAGTTCGGAGACTTGAAGAATTGAGATCCAATTTATTGAAAAAAAAGATTATCTACTTTGGGTTATTAACATAGGGGTCTAACTACTGAAGCATTAAGAACGCCAACAGAAAAGAATATCTCTACTTGTATTACCTTTATTTCGACATATAATCCTCGACATTATAATATTTTTCAATATATTTAGGACACTAAAGATGTTCTACTGTCTAATGATAATCATAATCGTCAATTTCATGGCATAGAATTAATAGTAAACGTCAGCCTCTAAGCCATAAACAATTACTCACTAGAGGTAAATTTCATGTTTCTAACCACTTTGTAAATGTTGTCACCATATCATTATTAATACTAAATTCACTTTTTCTAATATTAATTATACGCTTAGAATCAAAATAATATGAATTGTAGTACTACAAATATAATTTAATTTCTTGTGTGTAACCAATGCAATAAATGTTACACAGGGGAATGCGGTATTGAACTACGCGCACGCTTTAGAATACATAGGCAACAAATTGGCGCAATTTGTGATAGTTTTATGCTTATGGGAGATCAAATAACTAATATTTGTAAATTGTGCTATTTTAATATCAGAAATATAGGTAAAAAATGTAAATTTGTAACTGTAGAGCCACTAATTAAGTCACTTGTTAATTCTCTGGTCACTTCTGGATTAGATAACTTTAATTCACTTTTAGTTGATTTACCTTTAAAGGTTATAGATAAATTACAAAAAGTTCAGAATACGGCAGCTAGACTTAAACTACGAAATGTGACCACACGCTGCAAAATCCTGGGGAACATTCTTGACCAACACCAAGATCAGTGTACATAATCATAATAATGAGAGGAATATGGCCGATAATCCGACACCACAACAATCGGACATCACGACACCACGACAACCCGACATCAAGACATCGCAACATTTTATCCCAACAATACGACATTTTACGCGCCATTGTGACATTTTTAATGCCGTGGTGTCGGGGGGGGGGGTGTCGTATTGTCGGGTTAAAATGTTGTGATGTCGGGTTGTTGTAGTGTCGGGTTAAGATGTCGGGTTGTCGAATTGTCGCCTTATGTTTAAAGTATGGCGTGCCACAGGGTTTCGTGTTCGGTCCTTTATTATTTACCAAATACACAACATCTTTAGGAAATTCATTCGTAAACACCGCCTTAACTACCATCTGTACGCCGACGACACTCGAATTTCTATAGCTTTTGAGCCTTCTTCTGAACCATCTGAGATATGCAAACTTGAGGCCTGTTTATCAGATATTCGTAAATGGATGGCCTCAAATTTATAAAAACTCAACCTTGACAAAACAGAAATATTGAAAGACGGCAGCAGACAGCAACTACTAAAATCTAAAACAGGAAACTATCAAATTGGTAATATCTCTATTACACCAACAGATTCTGTAAAAAAAAATGTTGGTGTTTATTTTGACTCTGGACATGAATAGACAAATTTTGCCCATGTGTAAAAGTATTAATTTTCAGATTAATAATATTGGAAAAATAAGATCTTTCATTAATAGTGACACGACTAATCTCACACATACACAATCCTGATAAATTAGAATAATACCTTTATGCAAGAGGTACAAATATATTTTCTTCCCAATCATTATGGAACTTTAAATGCTATCAATTAAAATGGACGGTATTAATTCAATTTTCAAAAATTACATCTGAATTTTAAATTACACTTATAAATCTAATAATACACACTGAACGACAAGCAACATTTTCTTTTGTCAAAGTCAGTTGAATTAATAACTGTGGTCTGTAACCATATTGTGATGGAGTTGCGTCCCTTTGGAATCCGACACGGTGCCGATTTCCAGGAACTGCCACTTTCCACAGGGGTTTCCGTCCTCAGTAATATTTTAGATCATTAATTTCGTGTTTATTTTCATAATTATAAGTAAACTTTTGAGCGTATCTGCGCGTATCAGACAATTTCAATAAAAAAGAAAACAATTTATTAAAAGCCAACTTATCGCATGTCAACCGCCATTAGGCCTAACCATTTTTTGGGACACGCTTGGATACTCTCTAGGAGAATTACGTGGTTTCCGACCCAAATTCCGTCAGAAAAGTCTGTACTGGCTCGGCAAATACATGACCCAAAAACAGATCGAGTGGGGTTGAAAATCGTCCATAGCTGAGCGCAACACCGTCTGAGCCTCCTAGCGGTGGAACCGACCGCTATTATTAGCCCGGTCGAGGCAGAACAGTAGGACGATAAGTCCGATTTCGTTTTACTTTCGTTTTGGGATACATAAAATATTTGGTTCATTAAGGATTAAAAGATTATATTACATGTTCACGAAGACCTCTTAAACTGGCTTTTTCCACATTCATCCATCTAATATGTTCACGTTTGGCTTCCACACTAGCCAAATGGGGCTCATCGTGATCTACCTTGCTGTGGTTGGTGCATGTGATCTCCAACATTTTTAAAATCTTAATTTGTGAATCATCCCTTCTACTAATTCGTGCGAAATAACTACCGGTATCCAATATGTTCTTGGGATGGTGTTACGAAACATCTCATTTCCGGAACCGGAAATTGCCCGACATGCTGTCTGCTTTTGTAAACACTGGCCAAGGGATTAAGAAAAAGAATACTACCGACTCGTTGGTTTTATTTACAAAAGGCAAGTGAATAAGAAAGACGGTACGTGAATTAAATCATTTGTTATGTGAGTTTATTTATGTAAATATTTTGTATGCTGTTCGACTAGAGTGGGGGTGAGTGAGATTACTTTCTATGTCGTCGTGTATGATTGATATGGTAACAGACATTGCCTGAGTAGAGCGAAGTTGATGTGATTGTTGTTAAATATAAAAACCTTTATAATTAAGTTTGTTAAATAATCTCGTTTTTCCCACTTGATTTTAATTTATATCTAAATTGTATTAAACATGTGAAAATTATTTACATTGACGTCATTGATTAAACGCGTCATAAAAATATTTCTACAAGACGCGTAATCTCGCTTGGGCAAGGTTTGGTAAGTTGCAGGGTTGTAAAAATCAACTAAGCCCGACACCGGGGCTACCAAGAATAACTTACAGGCTAGTGATCTATTTAGCCGTACTATTCCTGGGCTAGTGCCCTTTCACTGGTTTGTGAATTAAACTAGTGACGATATAGATAAATAAACTGTAAAATATCCCACATTTATTTCTCAAATTCCAAGAAAAACTCAATCATAACAATAAATTTTCTGTAGTGAAACTTAAAGCCGTATGGACATTTTTTGTACCCCTTCTATTCATTCATTCTTGACATTTCATTTCTCCATCTTGCACGCTTTGACAGGTCACGTATAAACCAGTTGAAATCAGGTTGATTTAAAAACAAAAGACTCGCTTAAACTTTATATTAGATAATTAGATTAGTTCTGACATAAATATTTGAAAGCATACCTTTGTATTTTAAATACAAGATAATTTTGATTATTTAACATGTCAGGTATTTCCAAAGAATTTACTACACGTGTTCATTACACACACGCCATGATGAATGGTTCCAGTGACCCATGTGTCATCAACTTTGACCCTATCGGCACACAGCATGGCACTTGAGTGATAACATAAACAATTTACTATCCTGTCTATTTTAATATTATATCAGCACATCAAACTGATTTGTTTCATTTTGAGACTCTTTATAGAGTGACCAGGTAAATAAACACGGTAAAGCAATTAATTTGTCAATCAGTCGAAGCTATCTCGTGTTTTGCAGTAAGTGCTAATAATAATATAATGTATACAAATTTTCGAGCGCTGAATTAAAGGATGTTAATTTACCGTGATATATTACAAATGACATGTGCTATATGAAGTATTTATATGATCTTAAGTGAAAGAAAACATTGTTGTGGCTACCATTTCTGGTTTTGAAGGTCAGATATGATATGAAAACGAATCGGTTTGTAGGTTTTTGAACATTTCACCAGTACAACCAAACCGTGACTGGTTAACCAAGTATCCGTATACATCCTTAATTATTAGGCAATCAAGTCTACGATCTTTATTAAAAACGATAGGTTGGCAGGCAACAAAACATGCCCAAATATTGGAGATTAAATCTTGTAACTTGTCGAACTATGGACTACTGGATATTAATGCCGGGCTAGTGCCTGACAGTAGAGTACTAGCCCTGGGCTAGTGGATTCAAAAAAATTTTTACGCCCCTGGTAAGTTGGCATGTGTGCCATTTTTGCCTAGAAATGGTTCCACTACTGATGTCTTCAGCCGCAGTAGTGGCTCATCCTACAGAGTTCCTTTGCGCAAGTTTTTTAGTCAAATGACTAGAAAAAGGTTACTGGCCTATAGCTCCCTTAATTTACACATAAACTGGCCCAAGACAGTACTGCACATAGCTTAACATATAATAAATCAATTCCCATTGAAATAAAGGTGAAGCCTTACCGCATAATTATATAATTTGATGAAACCCAACTGCTACGCGAAATTTCAACTGGCCAGTGTCATGGCGGCTTGCGTTATACGTCATTACAAGAAACATTGCTATGCAAATGTAGAACGCATTACCACAAAGAAAAACTGTTCGGTAACTATTTTAGTGGTCCAGTCTTCACTATTTGTCATAGAATTACTTATTCCAATACAAACTGTAATGATATGTGTTGACAATTGTACGTTTGAACCTATTTGAACTTGCGTAAGGAGTCTCAGACTGTATCAATTGTAACGTTAAACACACAGTATAGTTACCAGTATAGTTACTAATTTTTGCCCAGTGTATCCAGAACAATAGGACGTTAAACCCAATTTCATTTAATTTTTCGTCAAAACAACGATTGATTATTGTTTTTCATAACATTTCTGCCACATTCAACTGCAATCAAGCATATAATCCTACCTGACACTACACGGGTACAAATCATGTCTTTTTAAATCAAAGCGATAATAGCCTGGCTCTCCGGCATTTTAAATTTTACATCTTTGACATCATAAAGGTGGGACGTCATGTACAAATAGAAGTACTAACCTGATACGAGTTGCGCAGGAATTTATAATACACCGTGATTAGAAATATTCGTATCAATTTTGATAAAAACAACACTTGATTTAATTTATTGACAATATTTGCAGATAAACTGAAGTTATTTCACTAGAGGGGGGTGCGTATGTTTAATAGTATGTTGATGGCGTGCACGTAAAAGATCCCTTGGCAGTTGGAATTTGATATAAGAGTAGACTATTGCCCGGGCAAAATTTCCCCTCATAGCACACTGTATGGCATATGCCTGTCTCCATTAACCCAGTTTAGGAGTAGGACATAATTTTTATCCCATTTAAAAAAACATATTATTATATCACCGTTAAACCCTAAGGGCGGCCGAGTTCAAATTTCGTGAAAATTGGTCCAAAACTGACAGACAAAATACATCACCGTTATACCCTAAGGATGGTTGAGTTCAAATTTCGTAAACATCCAACCAAAACTGACAGACAAAATGGCCACGCCTTGTAGTCAAATAGCATAAAAATATGGTATATCAATGTTGTGGACACTGTAGAGGTCACAATTTTAATCCGATTTTGATGAAATTTGAAATGCATGTTTATAACCCAAAGATCTTGGTTGCTTTCGATATTCGTGCATATCGGATTGTTACTTCCTGAATTATGGCCCCTGATTGTACAAAAAATGGCGTTTTTAGCTTGAGGTCCCTCTAGATGTCACAATTTTTATCCGATTTAAAAAAACCTTTGAATATATGCCCTTATGATGGTTGAGTCTGAATTTCGTACAAATCGGACCAAAACTGCCGGACAAAATGGCTGCCCCTCGTACGCAAATATTGTAAATATATGGTATATCGAGGTTTTGGACCCTCTAGAGAGAGGACACAATTTTGATCCGATTTTGATGAAACTTCAAATACATGTTTATAACCCAAAGATCTTGGTTCCTTTCAATATTCATGCATATCGGATCGTAACTTCCTGAATTATGGCCCTTGATTGTACCAAAAATCACTTCTTTTTTTGAGCTTGTTCTCTGTCCATCTCTTGCAAAATGTGGGCGTATTTTGCATGGCAACCGCTGTTGATAGTATGTCCTAATAGTATAAAGTTAACTTATTTTCAAGACGTTACATGTAATTAAGTTTGCCAGGTGAAACTAAAGGCACCCAATAGTAGCTAAAAACAAGCACATCAGTATATCTCAACGTTTTTAGCTACATTCTCGTAGCTACAACAAAGGGCAATACTCGTTCAGTATTCTATGATAGAAAATTTGACCGGATACAATGTGCAGTATTGTATTAGGCAAAATTTTAGGCTCTCTCTCTCTCTCTCTCTCATTTTACAGACCTTGTAGTCTGGATTATATATGTTTCCGTGGATCGTCGCCAACTCGTGTATTTACTGGGTGTGTGGAGGGATCAGATGGCCACAGGCACATAAGATCAAGTAACCTAGTTTCAATTCCCCACTTGTACCTACATTACAAGATGATCTAGTTTGTGTGTGTTTACGTTAAATCACATTTCTCTCTTTCTCTTTCTGCTTATTTACTATTTAGACTTGAATATCAAGTCATAAGATAGCTTTCTACAACCCGAACCTCCTCGCCAACATTTAGATAGTGAGCTGGCTATTCTTGCTATAATAGTTCAAAAATAGATAATGCAACAGGATATTGTTATAATTTATTATTAGATAAAGAACATGAAACATTGTGATATTTGGTACATAGTGGTATTTGTTGGTACATTGTGGTATATTGTGGTACATTGTGGTATTTGTTGGTACATTATGGTACAGTGTGGTATTTGGTGGTACATTATGGTATTTGTTGGTACATGGTGGTATTTGGTATATTGACGTATTTGTTGGTACATTGTGGTAAATTGTTGGTACATTATGGTATTTGTTGGTACATTGTGGTATTTGGTGGTACATTGTGGTATTTGGTGGTACATTATAGTATATGCCAGTACATTGTGATAATGGTTGTTATATTTACAGATATAGAGTATGGCACATTGTGATATTTGTAACCTCCATTTAAACTCTGTTGAACAACTTGTACAACATAAAACTGGAAAAACACATCTTAAAAATTTAGCTATAAAGAATGGTGATATCCCAACTCCAACAGGTGAGTGAGAATTACTTTTTATCATGGATGGGACGAAAAACCGAGGTCCTGTACTGTATTGCTCCGATTGGGCTAATTAAGACGGCCATACGCAATACAGTGTGCTTCGAGTGAAATTTTGTCCAGGCTCCAAAGCCTACACTTATTTCAAATTCCAACTGTCAAGGGATCTTTTTTATGCACTGCATTGTGTACACAGGACCTCGTTTTTTTGTCCCATCCGAATGACTAGACAGCTGTATGCACAGGACCTCGGTTTTCTGTCCAATCATCAGAACTCTGCTCAGAATAAAAGTAATTATACCGTACTGAGAACAGTCAATTCTTTATCTAAATGTTACATAATATTCCAACCTCGTGTGTTTTCTCCGGGTCGTCCAGTTTCCCCCCACTGCTAAAGAGCCCTACGCGCATGCAAATTATTGAAATAAAATTAAACCATATATTAGTCCCAAAATGACCTAGTTTGTGTCGCGTGGACGTTAAACCCCATTTCTCTCTCTCTTTTATTAATGTACCGATATTCCCTTTAACAGAACGAATAAGTCCACTAATATTTCAGTGAATTTTTCTTTGGTGTATTTGATTCTTGAAGCCTTTCACATATATTTGTATCTTCCATGGCTGTGGAGGTCTTTTTATGGCAGGGGGGTTGGATGGCCGAATGTTTAGCACGTGCACGCTGTATCACGAGGACTGTCATTGAGTCAACTGGCGTGGTTTCGAATCCTCGGTTGTACGTGACAAGGAGTAGGGTCACCTGTCCAACCTTGTGGGTTTTCTTTGGGTCCTCCGGTTTCCTCCCCTACATGCAAGCGAATTATTGAAATATAAATTAAACCATATGTTAGTCCCGAAATGACATAGTTTGTGTCGCGTGGACGTTAAATCCCATTTCTCCCTCTCTCTTACATAATGTATCTTTACTCATACTGGGAACAACCAGCTCTTTATCTAAATCTTACATAATGTATCTTTACTCATACTGGGAACAACCAGCTCTTTATCTAAATCTTACATAATGTATCTTTACTCATACTGGGAACAACCAGCTCTTTATCTAAATCTTACATAATGTATCTTTACTCATACTGGGAACAACCAGCTCTTTATCTAAATCTTACATAATGTATCTTTACTCATACTGGGAACAACCAGCTCTTTATCTAAATCTTACATAATGTATCTTTAAAAAGATTGACCCTGTATATATTTCAGTTTGTTCAAAACAAAGAGGAAATCATGTGATTGGTAACCAACGACAACAGATAATGTTTGTAAAAGCTGGTTTAACAGATGAAGATCAAACACAGCAGGTTAGCTTACTATGATTTTATACTCCCACATGTTCATGTAGTCGCCCCTGTTCATCTGTCCATCCACAATGTGTTTGTGGACACTCTACAGGTTACAGTTTTTATCAAATTATGGCGAAACTTGAAATACAGACTTATATCCCAAAAATCTTGGTTCTTTTTGATTATAAGTTCTCCATTCAGGAAATTTTAAGAATGACTACAGGCCTTCATGTTTAAAAAATCATAGGGAGCTGGAAAAGGCTTTCCTGGGATTGTAAAAATTGAAAGTTGCTATCCTTGAAAATACCAATCTGATTAGAATACAGATCTATATTCCGTTTCGTTTTTTTATACTTTCGATGGCCTAAACTACATGAAGATCTGACCAGTTATAGTGAAAGTTCACAGCAGGGTCAAAAGACTTATGACCTATGACGTCAGACATTTGATTAACCAATCAGCATTAATGTTACTAGTGGATTACCCACAGTTCCGTGAAAAACACGCCTAAAGCTCATCGTAACAGACAGTTTCATTGGCTTATCCCTGACACCATTCAGAACAAGAGTTAATTAACAACTTTTCAAGATCAAAGTGTAGTAAAGACGAAATTTTGAACTATAAAAACGAAATGAAATAGGATCTGTGTTTTAACCAGATTGGGAAAATACGGACAGCAGATGGCATGTACGATCATAACTAATACTTTATATCAATGTTCTTATATACTTTTTATCGGCTGTTTTTTGTCAGCTTTAGCCGATTGATGTTTGATCTAGTCGATTAATAAAACAATGAACCGGCCATTTTCAAAAGGTGTACCTAATTGTCGTTATTTTTGTGGTAATCGCATACATCAGGATACGACATTCTCCACAACAAATTACCAAGAATTATTTTTGTTGAAGTCTAGTTATATTAAAGGGAATGGAAGCTTATAATTAACCCATTTCCTACCGGGACCTTATTTGGCCCAATTCCCGCCGGTTCGTTTCAAAATGGATTAAGAAGCCTGCTTTATATTATGTTTCTTTTAAATAGAATAAATACACTTCAATATTTTCTATATTTTATTGGTATACTGACTTTAAGTTCATGTCAATAATATTCCTCAGTAATTACAAGATAAAAAATGAAATACATATAGTTCATAATGTCTAAAACATTGTGGGGGGTTGGATGGCTGAATGGTTAGCACGTGCACGCTGTGCGCTGTATCATAAGGTCTGTCATTGAGTCAAGTAGTGTGGTTTCGAATCCCTGGTTGTGTGTGACAAGGAGTAGGGTCGCCTGTCCAACCTCGTGAGTTTTCTCCGGGTCCTCCAGTTTCCTCCCACTGCTAAAAGACCCCTATGCGCAAGCGAATTATTGAAATCAAATTAAACGATATGTTAGTCCCGAAATGACCTAGTTTGTGTCGAGTGGACGTAAAACCCCATTTCTCTCTCCCCTGAGAAACATTGTTTATCTTTATTTTTAAAAAAAATAGTATTTTAGAATTTATTGATAGCTTAAATGAAATGACAATGGCAATCGTCTTCCAGGTATTATCTAATTTTGACAGTGCTAGTCAAATCTTTGACATCTCTGTTGTGTCGGTCGGAGGTCAGAAGAAGCGCCTACTTCTGTCACGACAAAAGTTATATCGCACAGTGATGTTTCTGGTGACACTACAGCGTCTATTAGCTCTTATGTGCCATTTAACTATTTTTGTAGTTTGAAATGCCCTATATCAACTACCCATGGTGCCATAAATGATATTAGGGGATCACGGTGGCTAAGTGGGTAAGGCGCTGGCTCGCTAGCCTGGAGGTCAGGTGTTCGATCCCTGCATTGGCCGAGAAAGTTCATCCAGATTTTCCGACGTGGTTCTCCCTTGTCAGTGATGCAGGACGGAGGGGCTGACAAGGACAGCTGTCTAGTCGTTCGGATGGGACGAAAAACCGAGGTCCCGTGTACACATTGGCGTGCACGTAAAAGATCCCTTGACAGTTGGAATTCGATATAAGAGTAGGCCGTAGTGCCGCTGTCCGGGCAAAATTTCCCTCATAGCACACTGTATGGCGTATGCCCGTCTTCATTAGCCCAGTTCGGAGCAAAACAGTAGGACGTTAAACTCCTGTAGAATGTTAAACCCAAATGCATTTCATTTCATTTCACTGAATTTCATTTTGTTAATGACGACAGGTTATTCTGTCTACTATGCGAAAACTTTTATCCATATAGCCGCAGCCGCACTACGAACTACACCTGTAGGACATTAAACCCCATGATTAAACATCATTTTATTTAGTTAGTTAGCGGAGAGATAGAATTTTAGCTCTTAAAGCGACAATTTCATATTTTCTAAGAAAGTCAAAACATAATTATTTCTATGTCTTTTGCTCAATAGGTTATCAACTCACTATTATACGACCATGGGCATTATTTCCCACCCTTAAAAATCATTGACACAGGAAATAATAACACAATTACCTTCCTTGGTTTCCTATTGCCTCCATGCATTAGCTACCTTCAAACGTTGGAATTTGAAGTTGAAAATGATATTTTTGCCAATTTCTCAGCTGGCAATAGTGAATTATAGGATTAATAGGAATATTCTTTAATGAGGTAGGACTGTTTATGGATACCATCTATTTTAGGGCTTTATTTTAATAAATTTTAAAAATATAACTTAAAAATATGAAATTGTAGCTTTAAACAATAAAAATGTTGCGTCCATGAATGAATACACAGGATTATATATATTTGTTCATTTTATAGAAATCAAGTTCATCACTGGAACCGTTGGGTTTTGATATCGACCCGGAACGCGATGTGTATCAGCCCGGAGAAGATGTGTTGGGTCGTAAACGTAAAGCCCAGTCATCTTTCTGTAATCACTGTCAAAAAGAGTTGAACTCTGACCTCCAGGCCTCTCAACATTATGCTAGTGATAAACATATGAAACGGTTAAAGATGGGCACAGAGACCAATACACAAGGTAGGTAGATTTGTTAATAGTAGGTCGTAGCACTGCTGTCAGTGCACAATGACTCCCAATTCCCCACTGTATGGGGTATGCCTATGTTCATTAGCCCTGGGAGTTGAATGGCCGAATGGTTAGAATGTGCGCATTGTGTCATGAGGTCTGTCATTGAGTCAACTGATGTGGTTTCGATTCCCTGGTTGTACGTGACAAGGAGTAGGGTCGCCTGTCCAACCTCGTGAGTTTTCTCTGGGACCTCCGGTTTCCTCTCACTGCTAAAGACCCCTACTCGCAAGCGAATTATTGAAATAAAATCGAAAAAATATGTTAGTCCCAAAATGACCTAGTCCGTGTGGAGTGGACGTTAAACCACATTTCTCTCTCTCTATCTCTCTCATTAGCCCTGGGGGTTGGATGACCGAATGGGTAGGATGTGTCCATTGTATCATGAGGTCTGTACGTGACAAGGAGTAGGGTCGCCTGTCCAACCTCGTGGGTCTTCTCTGGGTACGCTGGTTTCCTTCCACTGCTAAAGACACCTACGCGCAAGCGAATTATTGAAATAAAATTGAACCATGTATTAGTCCCGAAATTACCTAGCTTGCGAACATTAAACCCCATCTCTCTCTCTCTCTCCCTCTTTCTCTTTCTCTCTCTCTCTCTCTCTCTCATTAGCCTTGTTGGTGGAGAGGAGAGAAGTAGGACGTTAAACTTCATTTTAAGGATATCACTGTGGGTAAGATGCTGGCTCGCTAGCCTGGAGGTCGGGTGTTCAATCCCTGCATTGGCCGAGAAAGTTCATCCAGATTTTCCGGCGTGGTTTCCCCTTGTCAGTGATGCAGTCGTTCGGATGGGTCGAAAAACCGAGGTCCGTTGTACATATTGACGTGCACGTAAAAGATCCCTTGGTCATTGGAATTTGATATAAAAGTAGGCCGTAGCGCCGCTGCCCTGGCAAAATTTCCCTCATAGCACACTGTATGGCGTATACCCGTCTTCATTAGCCCAGTTTAGGAGCAGAACAGTAGGACATTAAACCCCATTTCATTTTATGTTACTTAACCAAAATTTGGACTGAATTTCAACAATTTCTTGAGTTTTGCTGTTGTTCACCTTGTACATCTTGTCATCCAATTGGTGTGACATTAGTTAAACATATTGATAGTAGCAAAAAAAACAATGCCTATAGAATATCAACAGTTGAGTTGATATTTACCATCAAATATTGGTTGATAGGTTCTGTCCAATAATAATCACGGTTTCTGGTCAATCTGATTACAATACAGATCTATATTTCGTTTCAATATTTTTATACTTTCGATGGCCTACACTACATGAAGATCTGACAAGTTATGACCCTATGACGTCGGACATTTGATTAACCAATAAGCGTTGATGTTACTAGTGGATTACCCACAGTTCCGTGCAAATCACACCTAAAGCTCGCCGTAACAGACCGTTTCATTGGCTTATCCTGACACCATTCAGAACAAGAGTTAAATAACAACTCTTCCAGGTCCTAGTGTAGTAAAGACAAGTAAAACGAAAGTTTGAACTATAAAAACGAAACGAAATAGGATCTGTGTTTGAATCAGATTGGTTTTCTGTCATATGTTTTATTATTTCAGGAACATCAGTGAAAAAAACATCTCCCAAGGTACCACCCGTACCTTTGCAGACCGCAGCAGATATAACACCCATCCCTTATCCTCCAGCATTTTTATCATCAACATCTCCCCCTCCCCCTCCTCCACCAGTTGCCCCTACTAAACCTAATACAGCAGTTCCTGGGTCACTAGAACCACCAAAACCTACTACAGCAGTTCCAGGGTCACAAGAATCACCAAAAGCTACCCACGGTTTTATGTTTTGTAGTTTTTGTAATTTAAGTTTAAATTCAGCATCACAGATAGACGCCCACCGATCAGGTAGAAACCCAAAAAACATCATGTACACACACTCGTATTCAATCTGAGCAAAATACAGATCTATGTTTTTTTATACTTTCAATGGCCTCTACTACATGATTATCTGACCGTTTGTGGTAGGTCGCGTCATACAAGCGACTTTTGACCTTATGACATCATACATTTGATTTACCAATCAGCGTTGATGTTTCTAGTGGGTTACCCACAGTTCCTTGTACCTCACGCCAAAAACTCAGCATAACAGACTGTTTCATTGGCTAATCCCTCATGTCAACCAGAACACATCAATGATAACAACTCTTTCAAATCCTAGTGCAATCTGTTTCACAGAGATCTAATATCTCTGTAACAGATGACTATTTCGACACATAACATCACGCGGCGTCAATCATTGGCTCAATATAGCGCGTGCATTGTTTACATAAGATGTTACTGATTCAGGCTAAATGGTGAATTTTACTTATTTTAATACCCACTTACACTAAATAGGAAATAATTTTTACCTACAAACAATTCAAACGTCTTTATTTTTCTAATAAATGAAAAAAAATGTTTTAGAATTTAATTTGTCGCAGGACAAAAGTTAATATTCTTGGCTCATTAAGTCGCATCGATGTCATCCTTATCAGTGATTGTAGCAGCCTAGCGAAAATTCACTGATGATCAGTGTGATCCTAGTGTAGTAAAGACAAGGAAAACGTAATTTTGAACAATAAAAACAAAACGACGTAGGATCTGTGTTTTAACCAGATCGGGGGATCACGTGGCTAAGTGGGTAAGATGCTAGCTCGCTAGCCTGGAGGTCGGGTGTTCGATCCCTGCATTGGCTGAGAAAGTTCATCCAGATTTTCCGGCGTGGTTCTCCCTTGTCAGTGATGCAGGACGGAGGGGCTGACAAGGAAAGCTGTCTAGTCGTTCGGATGGGACGAAAAACCGAGGTCCCTTGTACATATTGGCGTGCACGTAAAAGATCCCTTGGCAGTTGGAATTCGATATAAGAGTAGGCCGTAGTGCCGCTGTCCGGGCAAAATTTCCCTCATAGCCCACTGTATGGCGTATGCCCGTCTTCATTAGCCCAGGTTAGGAGCAGAACAGTAGTACGTTAAACCCCATTTCATTTCATTTCATTTAACCAGGTCGACTTGGATGGTATTTTAATCGATAAATATTTAAAACGGAAGGGGGTGGGGTGGGGATGGATGGCCGAATGGTTTTGAGACTCGAGAAAACATGGTGGACACACAATGCCAATTGAATTATAAATATATTTTATTATAATAAAAAAATACCAACGATTTAAATAAAATTTATTTTAACAATACATTTATTTAATACATGATTCACAGATTGAATAAAATTTATTTTAACAATACATTTATTTAATACATAATTCACAGATTGAATAAAATTTATTTTAACAATACATTTATTTAATACATAATTCACAGATTGAATTGAATAACATTTATTTCAACAATACATTTATTTAATACATAATTCACAGATTGAATAAAAATTATTGTAAAAAGATAAATCAAGAAAATAAATGTTGTATAGATATAACAGTTGCTATTTATCAGGTTCTTTTTTGCTATCTCTGGGTACTGGATACTAATTACTATAATTGTTCGGGGGGATGGATGGCCGAATGGTTAGCGTGTGCGCACTGTATCATAAAGTCTGTCAATTAGTCAACTGGCGTGGTTTCGACTCCCTGGTTGTATGTGACAAGGAATAAGGTCGCCTGTCCAACCTCGTGGGTTTTCTCCGGGTCCTCCGATTTCCTCCAACTGCTGGAGTCCCCTATGTGCAAGCAAATTATTGAAATAATTGAAATGTTAGTCCCATAATAAACTAGTTTGTGTCAAGTGGACATTAAACCCCATCTCTCTCTCTCTCTCCCTCTCTCTCCCCCTCCCTCTCTCCCTCCCTCTCTCTCTCTCTCTCTCCCTCTCTCTCTACTCTCTCTCTCTCTCTCTCTTTAAAAAGGAAAAAACATTTAGAACATTACATCATTACATTATTTTCTATCTAAAAATTACATTCTGTCATAAAAAGTAACTGATTTAATTTGATATAATATTCACTTTTCATTATCTATTTAGAACTAGAACTGTAGGCTATTTATCTAAATCTTACATAATGTATCTTTAAGATTGATAGCATGCTATTTACCTGAAATGAAATTCTGATGAGTTTTTTTCTGTACTTGTAGGTGCTCGACATAAGAAGAACGTAGCCAAGGCCCAGATTCAACAACTGTCAACCGTTACTTCAACAACTAAACAATGATTCTGATCAACAACTAAACAATGATTCTAATCAACAACTGTCAACTGTTACTTCAACAACTAAACAATGATTCTGATCAATAGCTGTCAACAACTAAACACTAATTATAATCAACAACTAAACAATAATTATAATCAACTGTCAACAACTAAACAATAATTATAATCAACAACTGTCAACAACTTCTAAGTGTAGTGTTTATGTACTGTTGACTAGTGATGGGTATTGCGACTATCCATAATGTGTGACATGGATAATTAAGAGTGACCAGTTACTTAGTGATGCCGTTGTGTTTTCATCCTTCAACAAATCCACAAGGAATTTAAGTGATTATATATGATAAGTCACTGATTAACATCGAATCTAGTCATTTTGGTTGTGGTTCATCAATAGAACTGTTTAGCTGTGCTAGTGTGATGGAGATAGAGTTGTGGTTCATCAGGAGAACTAGCCGTGCTAGTAAGAAGATAGAAGGAAGGAAGGGCCAGTCCAAGGTACCAAAACCATGGATGTCACATGCTAGGGAGGGGAGAGGGACATATGTCATGTGCTAGTGAGGGGAGGAGGAGGAGGGGCATATGTCATGTGCTAGAAAGGGGAGGAGGGGCATATGTCACTTGCTGGAGAGGGGAGGAGGGGCATATGTCATGTGCTAGGGAGGAGAGGAGAAGGGGCATATGTCCTGTACTAGTGAGGGGAGGAGGAGGGGCATATGTCATGTGCTAGAAAGGGGAGGAGGGGCATATGTCACATGCTGGAGAGGGGGGAGGGGCATATGTCACGTGCTGGAATGATGAGGAAGGGCATATGTCACGTGCTGGAGAGGGGAGGAGGGGCATATGTCACTTGCTGGAAAGGGGAGGAGGGGCATATGTCATGTGCTAGGGAGGGGAGGAGAAGGGGCATATGTCATGTGCTAGGGAGGGGAGGAGAAGGGGCATATTTCATGTGCTAGGGTGGGAAGGAGGGGTGTATGTTGTGCTAGGGAGGGGAGGAGGGGCATACATCGTGCTAGAGAGTGGAATATGTCATGTGCTAGGGGGGACGAACGATACCATACACTTCACTCTGTGTATGTAATAAACATGATATCCTACCCCCCCCCCTTCCCTCCCTGCTACCCCCCGCCCCCTTTTCTCTCCCCTCTTTCCTTACCCGTCTCTCTCTCTCTCTCACCACACAACCTACATCCCTCTCTCTCTCCATCCCTCCCCCTTAACTCTCTCTGCCCCTACAAGCTAGAATAAAGATTAAATATAGACATGTTACAAGCTTGAATAAATGTTAAATGTATAGATGTATTATAGAGTTTGTTCTTTCAAGCCCCAACAAGCTTTTCCCTTATAGCTTCAACAAGCTTGTTCCTTATAGCCACAACCAGCTTGTCCCTTATACCTCCAACAGGTTACAATAAATGTTATATTGTTGTTGGGTGTTTAAAGCCCCATTGTGCTGCATGAGGCACTGTGGGTCAATGGGTAAGACGCTGGCTCGCTAACCTGGATGTTCTGAGTTTGATCCCCTCGTCGGCTGAGGAAGTTCATCAGGGTTTTCCGATTCCCCCTCGACAGTGTTGCTGGACGGAGGGCCTGGCAAGGGCAACTTGGAGTCATTCGAAGTGGACAAAAAATAGGGTTCCATTTTATAATCTGTTTTAGGGTTACAGGTGTTTTTGATGTCCGATGACACTGTGATATAACCCAGCCATCATTTTCTTTAAAGGGATAATAACACTCTTGCTGGCTTGACAGCTCCAGAAAATAAATAATAGCCTTATTCTAAGTATTAGATGTTTAATTGTCCTACCTGTTGTGTAAATTATCCATTACATCCTATTTTACTTGTCCAGAGGGTTCGAAAATATTTTTAAATCCAAGTCACATTTGAAAAGCTTTACTTTAGGCTTTTCAAATCATTTAGTTGAATATTTCAAATTTTTTAAATTAGGTGTGTTAGATGAAATTTGTATCATCAATTAATTGGAATACTGTAAAATAGTACAATTTGTTGACCAGAATAAAGATTAGGACATATTATTCAGCTACAGGAGTGGTATTGAGCCTTTAAGATGTGGGATCTGATTGTTGTGTGTGTTTTTAATCTGATCAAAGGCTTGGTTCCATAACTGGGAGGTCCAGGGTTCATTCCCGGTGTAGGCCAAGAAAGTTCATCAGGATTTTCCGACATGGTTCCACATTGTCAGTGGTGCATAATGGAATGCCTGGCAAGAAACAGTGTATAGTCATTCGGATAGTACCAACAACCCAGGCCCTGTGTTAACATGGACGTGAACATAAAAGAACTCTTGGCAGTTCGATATGAGAGTAGGCTGATTGAAGTAGAAAGTTGGATGTTAAACCACATATCATTGAACTCCAAGCCAACATATTATTTACCATAGGTATTAGTATTTTATTTTCTTAATGCAGTTATGATGTAATAATTTAAACCAATCGGCCCCCTCCTATCAGTACCAATTTAGACTAATTGGGCCCTGTCCTATCAGTACCAATCTCTTTGCCCAAAGCCCGATTTCTGGAGACAAGCAACATCACAAACAAATACATTAGAGACTGTTTACTATTTAGCAAAATAAAGCAATGTTTTTTTCAACTGGTATTCTGCACACCTATATACTCTACTTTGAGAATAAATCTCTACCCTGAATGACTGCCATATCCAACAATTCGTACCGGTAAAGCTGTTTTGTAAAGCTGTTTTGTAAAGCTGTTTTGTAAAGCGATGCTGTCTGTCTACAGTTAGCTCGGCTTGAGAACAGACACTAAGCTAGTTGACCGACATCGATTTTAGTTGAAAACGATAAGTTATGTTCGAGAATTTTTAGAAGTATTTATTCTGCTTCCATTTAATGGAATTGAATAGGTTTATTTAGTCTTTATGTGTATGACAGGTGTGAAACAGAGCCGAGTCGCAATACATGGATATGGTGGCATACAAAACAAGGCCGCGCGGATCGTAACGTGAACTCCTTTGAGGGACCGTATCACCCCTGTACTTTGGTCACTTCACTGGCTTCCAGTGCATGCAAGAATCAACTTTAAATTGATGTCTCTTACATATCAATATGTATACTGTGAAATACCATCTTATCTGAGAGAACTGGTGGAAGCTTACATGCCATCGCAAAATCTAAAATCCTTTGGAGCTCACTCATTTAGTGTTGTTGCTGCCAATTTGTGGAACTCGCTACCTAGTCCTTCATTAGACTCCTTTAAATCTTGATTGAAAACATACTTGTTTGAGAAATATCTGCTAGAGTGATTGTGTTTTTTGTAGCGCTATGAGCACCACTATATGTGGAATTAGTGTGATATAAATGGACTTATTATTATTTTAGGACAGAGATTTATTCTCGAAGTATGAAGAAGATGGATCTCTATGTACAGTATGACGGTCCAAGTCTAGTTGAAATCTGTTCTACACACAAAGATTACTTTTATTATATGAAAGCAGGATATATACTTTTCAAAATTTGCGAAATATACTTAGTGTTTTCGACTTAGGACTTAAAATGTCAGTCAACTAGTTTAATTAGTGTCTCTTCTCGAGCGGATCAGAACGTTAGATTTTATTTCAGTGTCCAGTTAGATATCTAATCACAACATAATCTCAAAACATGTAATACCCGACCAATCTGAATCTGCTCATTTAAAGGAACTAAATCTTCTATATATATATTTGTGACTGTCGTTTGTCTGTCTGTCTGTCTGTTCGGGGTTGGCGGCTACACTAGGTCTGCCCCGAGTCTGAAATTTGGGGTATAGGGGTATCTCGGACCGGAGTGTAACATAGGCCAGGTGGCGTTAGTCTACCACTTCCGGTTTCGGAGTTATGACCCCCGAGCGAAGCCGGGTATCCTGCTAGTCACTAATATTTGGGACCTAGAAATTGACAATGCATATAATAATGTAATATGAATGTTTATAACCCGATTTACATTCAATCGTTTCTGTTTTTACTCTAATTTCAAATCCGTTTATGTTCCGCGAAATAGCAATCGAATAGCAGTCTCTAGCGTATCGTTATTCCAGTCTACACCGATAGTATTTATTGCGCATGTTCCCCCGATAAGAAAATGGCATCAACGTTTGACATGACTGTGGAATATGTCTAGACTCATTTTTCGAGTCCCTTGTTACAAATGGCGCTGAAATGCATAATTGTACACAATTCGTGTATCAATGGTAAAATGTTTATTTTGTCTTAAATATTGGATAACAACATCATTGATGATATAAATTAACAAATAATTTGTGTTTTCAATGTGGAAGACTTTGGATGATACTGAGTTAGCTACTTGAAACCACATTTAAATGTGGCCTACCACTTTCCCCTATGACTTAAAATAAATAATTTAATGGAGTTTTCGATGAATCGGAAACATTTGTTCCGCAACTGACTTTAAACCTCTATTTTATTTCCGTATGTATGGTCTCTCTCTCGTTCCGTATGGTTCATGACGTGTTGATGAAGGTGACTCATTCTACCGAACGAAACATGACAGATATCACATTTATAAGGGTTGTTAGGGTTATGAGTTTTCATATGATTGCGTAAAAGTTGCCGTCTGGAGAATAACTTAAAACAGAGTTCGCATGGATGAGTCTGGGTGTTCTTGTCTTTAGGTTCGTGAGTTCTCATATGTCTGTCGAGATTACCTCTAAACGTCTTACCGCAAACTTCACACGTATTTAAAACCTCGTGAGTCTCCATGTGTATCCTGAGAAGTCCATTATGAATAAATGTCTTCTCACAAACCCCACACTTGTGAGCTTTCTCTCCTGCTCCGGTGTGAATTTTTCTGTGTTCGATCAGACGACTGTTTCGACTATAGGCTACCTCGCAAACATGACACTTATACAGCTTTTCTCCCGTATGCGTCCGTAAATGTTTACGCAGACAACTGTTGTAAAAAAAAGATTTGCCACAGAAATGACATTCGTAACGTTTTTCACCGGTATGAGTTATACCATGAGCCTTGAGATTACTGCGGTTATTAAATGATTTACCACACACATCACATTTAAACGGTCGTTCACCGGTATGAATTCTGACATGTCTCTGAAGATGGTCTCGCGTATTAAATGATTTCGTACATTCATTACATTTATAGCGTTTGTCAACAACTAGACTTTTATTTTTGTCACATGGCAATGAATTGATATTGTAAGACTTTGAGCTCTGACTTATTTCTTGCTTTCTACCACATTGGTTAGGAATATCATCGCCAGCTCGGACGTTTTCTTCGTGTATCTTACAATGTTTCTCTAGATCATGGACTGACTCAAATTTTCCATCACATAAATTACACATGTGTTCATTTTTATCGTCCTGTTTATCATCAACATCAGTTTCCTCATCTTTAACATGTATTTTATTGTGTTGTTCTAAATCATCAAGTTGTTGAAAAATCTCATCACATACAACACACTGATGTAATTTCATTACTGTTACATCGTCAGTTTCCTGTAAAATATATATGTTATAATATCATTAGTTTCCTGTAATATATAAAAGTTATAACTTCATTAGTTTCCTGTAATATATAAAAGTTATAACATCATTAGTTTCCTGTAATATATAAAAGGGGTTTAACGTCCACTCGACACAAACTAGGTCATTTCGGGACTAATACATGGTTCAATTTATATTTCGATAATTCGCTTGCATGTAGGGGAGGAAACCGGAGGACCCGAAGAAAACCCACAAGGTTGGACAGGTGACCCTACTCCTTGCCACATACAACCAGGGAATCGAACCACGCCAGTTGACTCAATGGCAGACCTTCGGATACAGAGCGCACGTGCTAACCATTCGCCTATCCAACCCCCGCTTGTGGAAAAAGAGATTTCTAGTAAATTTCGTGGTGTTTCAACTTACCTTGACATGTTTATTGATTTTATCATCGTCAGATTCACTTAACTCAGTGTCTAGCCGGAGAGTATTATCGGTTCCTATATCTTTCTTTATACCTCCTGGGCCTGCAGGAATAGATGGTACCTGTGTCTTTATACCTTCTGGGCCTGTGGGAATGGATGGTACCTGTGTCTTTATACCACCTGGGCCTACTGTCACAGACGTTACCTGTGTCTTTATATCTTCTGGGCCTTCTGTCACAGATGGTACCTGTGTCTTTATACCTTCTGGGCCTGTGGGAATGGATGGTACCTGTGTCTTTCTACCTTCTGGGCCTGCAGGAACAGATAGTACCTGTGTTTCCACCTGATTATCATCATCATCTTCTGACTGGATCTCTTGCTTTATATCAGCTTCTAGTCCCAGTCCAATGATTTTTATATCTGCATCGTCATTTGGCAAATCTGTCTCTTGTTTAATAAATGTTTGTAGAACAGATTGTCTGTTCGATGTCCGTGTTGGAAGATTGACTGTTGAGGGGGGTGGAACAGAAATCTCAGATGAACTTAGCTGTCCGAACGAATTCTGTTTTAATACTGTGGCTTTAAGAAGGAAAGGAATGGTGGTGGATGAACTCGATAAACTTGAACTTGATACATTTAAACTTTTATTGACAGTTAAAGCAACCGGCACTGGGATTTCTTGATTTCCACTGGAAGATCGATTTGATAAATTGGAAGTAGAACTTCCTGTACTGTTAGACTGGGAGGTTTGAACAACCAGTGCTGGATTCCTTGATAGTGGGTTATTGTTTGATAAATTGAAAGTAGAACTTCCTGTACTGTTAGACTGGGAGCTTTGAACAACCAGTGTTACATTCCTTGATAGCGGGTTATGGTTTGATGCATTCATTTCAACAGATTCTGGTTTCTGAGAGCAGGATGGTGGAATTGTAAACAATATATTGCAGTTTGCCGAACCATGTAAATTATTTGGACAACTGGTCGTTGTATTGTTAACGTAAGTTACACCGACTGGTACAGGTTCAACCAATGATTGATTGGGGTTAATCGTGTCTAAGGGAACCAATGATGGATCAGGGTTGATCGTATCACCCGAGGTTTTGTTCTGTGACCCAGGGAATGGTAAAATATCCCTGAATCCTGGAACTTGAGATTGAATAAATGTGTTTGGAGGTGGTTTTGATCGATAAACACATATCTGCTGAGGTGGTGTATTCGTAGTTTTAGGGGGCGCTTTATCCTTATTCTCTAGATGTATTTTTCTCAAAGTCTCAACGACTGCGGACCTCTGTTTTCTAATCATATCTAACTTTAAAATCTCATCAAAATGTTGAATTCTTTTTATTTTACACAGACATGTGACACATGCGTACATATTCTCTCGGGTCAGTTCCATTCCTATTTCAGCTATAACCTCGTCAAATTCTTTGACTGTTTGTGAAGATATGATTCGGTAAGATTTCCTACCAATAATCCCATGACAGATGTTGCAACATCTGGAGCTGAAGGTAGCCATCTTTTATCCTTCTTTAATAGGAGTAGAGTTGACACCAGATGGAAGGAGTAGAGTTGACACCAGATGGAAGGAGTAGAGTTGACACCAGATGGAATGAGTAGCGTTGACACCAGATGGAAGGAGTAACGTTGACACCAGAAGGAAGGAGTAGCGTTGACACCAGATGGAAAGAGTAACGTTGACACCAGAAGGAAGGAGTAGCGTTGACACCAGATGGAAAGAGTAGAGTCGATGCCAGATGGAATGAGTAGAGTTGACACCAGATAGAAGGAGTAGAGTTGACACCAGATGGAAGAAGTATCTGAAAGTAGATAAGACAAGCCTTGTCAGTCTCAATATAATATAATAATATGTACCTTTATGATTGTGCTCACTCCATCCATATTGCATGCTCTAAGTGCATGGAAGATAATAGCTAATCCTGATAACTAACAAACAAATGAGTTTTGATTTCGGATTTGAACACAGCTAATGTTAAGTTATTCCACAAACGCAATCGACAGACACTGAAGGCTTATCCTCATAGGATTTCAGTTTAGCTTGCGGCGCAACCAATGGATGGTTATTTTGTGAACAAAGCGGTCGATTTGGTTGATATGATTGAATGAGGTCCGTGAGGTAAGATGGGGAAAGATCATGTTGACACATATAAACCAATGTTAGAATCTTGAATGTTATCCGGCGGGTTTCTATGGATAACCAATGTAATGATTTTAAAATGGTATAACAGTATAGTGTAATGGTACTACTGCCCTTGTTAAAGTTTTCTCTATTGAGCTATGAAACACCTCTGGAATCAAGAAATGTTTTTAGCTTAGCTTTAAATGCACCAAGAGTCAATCTTATCTTACACAAAACAGTTTTTGTCTGTATTTTCGAGTAACATGACACACATGATTCTGGTTTGACGGTCATTTTAAAATGAACATAAATTTTGCATAGCAGTTGGGTTTATTCAAATCATATAATTATAGAGTATTATAGGGTAAGATTTCATCTATATTTCAATCAATCAATGGGAATTGGTTATTATATGTCGGCCCATTATATGTTAAGCTATGTACAATACAGTTTGGGGTCAGTTTAATTGGAAATTAAGGGAGTTATAGGCCAGTAACATTTTTGTAATCAAATGACTACAAAAATTGCTGAAAGGAAGGCCTTAGGACGGTCTGCTACTGTGGCTGGAGTAAAACGGAAGACATCAGTCATGGTATGGAACGATTTCTAACTGAGCCGCCGTCAGTTTGAAATGACTTATTTGGGCTGACTTACCAAAAATACTGTTTTATGACAACAGTCGGTTGTTTATTTTTTGTCCTTATCAGTTCAAAATCAGGGAAATTCGTGATTTTTCCTAGTTTCGGATAAACTTATATATAATTTACATTCTACAGCCATTTGTTTCCTTCGAAATACGGCAGCCATCTTAAGAGAATGCGTCACGTCCGGCTGATATTTGTAATGATATTTGGACACGAATTAAACATACCCGAGTAACCCACAATCAAATAATTCCAGCAAATTGTAATGAATTCACTGGACGACTGAATTGTGTCAACAGAAATCATATTTAATGATATATTATATGATGCGCCTTGAGTCGAAATTCAAAATAAACACCATCGTTAGGAAATTACATAGCTCCAATACTGTAGCGGCGTCTGTCAAGTCCGTTGTAAAAATGTAAAGTGTTATCTAATTTTACAAAATGTTGGCATTTCTTCGCCTAATATCACATTTTAGATTTAATAGCGTCACAAGAATCTGGGATTAAATGGCGTTACTTCTATTGACATATTCCATCAGATTATCTGACGTTGCTTCTCTTGGAATACTTCATCAGATTGTATGACGTTACTTATATTGGAATACTTCATCATATTATATGGCGTTACTTATATTGACATAATACATCGAGTTATCGAAGCCTCGTATAATTGTCAGTCATGTTAATTTGTTTTTGGGTAAGGCCAGTGTAGTATAAAACCTTAAAGTAGCTAATTCCGTAACTCAATATCATCCAAAATCTTCGACATTGAAAACACGATTTTTTTTTTGCAATTTAAATCAGCATTGGTGTTGTGGTCTTACCTGGAAAAGATGGGCTTCTGATATCCAATATTTAAAACAAAATAAACATTTTACCATTGGTACACGAATCGTGTACCATAATGCGTTTCAGCGCCATTTGTAAAAAGGTGCTCAAATAATGAGGCTAGACATATTCCACAAGTCATGTCAAACGGTGATATCATATTCTTATTCGGAGAGCATGCGCAATAAATAAAATCGGTGTTGACTGCAATAACCAGACGCTAGAAACTGACTTGCGGTTGAGACTTCTGGCGTATTTCGTCGAACATAACTGATGATAATTCACAATAAAACGGAAAAGATTGAATGTAAAACAGTTTATATGAATTCATATTACATTATTATATGTGTTGCGACTCATTTGTGCCAATTTCTAGGTCCAAAATATTAGCGATTTAGCTCCTTTAAGATCAACCCGAAACCAGACCAGTGGGAAATAAAACGGGGTTAAACATCCTAGCTAATGAAGACGGACATACACCATGCAGCAAGGGAAATTTTCCCTACTTTTATTTGGAAGTCAAACTCTTAAGGGTTCTGTTACGTGCATGGCAATGCGTATACGGTTTTTGGTCCATCCGAAAGACTAGATACTGTTCTTCGCTACGGCAAGTTGAAACCACGTCGGAAAATCCCGAGAAAATTTCGAGACAAACATGTGGTTCAATTTTATTTCAATAATTCACTAGCGCGTAGGGGTCTTGTAGCAGTGGGAGGAACCCGGAGAACGCGGAGACAACGCCCGAGGCTGGACTCCTTATCACGTACAAGCGGGAAATCGACACCACCAAAACTCTCCGATAAGATTTGCGAATATTACTTACAAAAACATTTATGATTGTTTTATTACAAATGTACAAAACATTTTTTAAAGTTTTAAAAATTACATAAAAAAAATTCATAAAATTTACAAAAAGAAAACCCCAACATATACCGCATAAAGATGCATTATGTAAGAATTGGATAGACAAAAACATTCATTAAATTAAAAAAAATAAAATCATAAAATTTAAAAATAAAAATCATGTACCAAGTAAAGATGCATTATGTAAAAATTAGATAGAGAACCAACCGTTCTTGCTATAACAGTTTTAAAATATACAATTAACAAATGAATATATTAAACATTTCATTAAAATTACTTGATTCTGGGCCAAGATATGAGAGTTTGCAGTCTCGGTTGTCAAATAAACAAAGTCTCGATTATCCATTTTATAGTTAAATTATTAAACGGCGAGCGTGTTCTAATCCATTCAAAATGACGACCATCAGATGGTTTAGAGAGTTGATTATCAGAATGTCGAATTAACAGTTTAATATAACATTTAAAGCCAGAACAACAATCTGGTTAAAACACAGATCCTATTTCGTTTCGTTTTTATAGTTCAAAATTTCGTTTTACTTGTCTTTACACTACACTAGGATCTGGAAGAGTTCTTATATAAAACGCTTTCTGGTTGATGTGATTGATTAGCCAATGAAACGGCCTATTACGGCGAGTTTTTGGCGTGAGGTGCGGAACTGTGGGTAATCCATTAGAAACATCAATGCTGATTGGTTAATCAAATGTCTGATGTCATGGGGTCAAACCTTTATGACCTCTGACACGATCCTCCACTACAACCGGTCATATCTTCGTGCAATCTGTTTCACAGAGAATTACGAGTCTCGTATAAAATCTCTGTCATAGATGACTGCCTTAACACGTGCTGTCACAGCACGCGGTGTGAATCATTGGCTGAATGGTGCGTGCATTGTTTACATAAGACATAACTGCTTCGGAGAGAATGCTGCATTTTAGTCATTTTAATACCCATTTACACTAAATCGGAAATAATTTTTAACTACAAATACGTCAAACGCCTTTATTTATTTTTCCAATATATACAAAAAATGTTTTAGAATTTAATTTGTCGCAGGAAAAAAGTTAATATTTCTAGCTCATTAAGCCGCATCAATGTCATCCTTATCAGTGATTGTCGCGGCCAAGCAAATATTCACTGCGGATCGGTGTGATCTTCGTGTAGTGTAGGTCATCGAAGGTATAAAAAACGAAACGAAATATAGATCTGTATTTTAGTCAGATTGCCAGAACAAAGAGAGAGAGAGAGAGATGGGGTTTAACGTCCACTCGGCACAACCAGGTCATTTCGGGACTAACATATGGTTTAATTTTATTTCAATAATTCGCTTGCGCGTAGAGGTCTTTAGCAGTGGGAGGAAACCGGAGTGCCCGGAGGAAACCCACGAGGTTGAGAAGGCGCCCCTATCTCCATGCCACATTCGCTCACACCAGGGCTCGAAACCACAGCCGCAAGCCAGAGGTGACCGGCCAGCCAGAGGTCGAAGCGCGGCACTCTAGACCACTAGGCCATCCCAACCCCCCCGATCCAGACCAGGGAATATGTCTAAAATATTATCGATATGATCGATTGTTAGGCCGGAAAGTTCTGAATTACAATCTAGTGAACTGGAATTCAGTCCTGTCACAGTATTGGGGATGCTCGATTGGACGTTCCAGAACTGGATTTTCTCAATCCTAAAAGTTTTGGAAATGAAATGAAATGAAATTGGGTTTAACGTCCTACTGTTCTGCTCCTAACCTGGGCTAATGAAGACGGGCATACACCATACAGTGTGATATGAGGAAAATTTTGCCCGGGCAGCGGCGCTACGGCCTACTCTTATATCGAATTCCAACTGCCAAGGGATCTTTTACGTGCACGCCGATGTGTACACGGGACCTCGGTTTTTCGTCCCATCCGAACGACTAGATTTCGAGCTACAACACAGCCAACGAATGCATAAGATAATATATCAATCAACCATGACAGCTGAAACATAATATTTGTCGGGGCTGACAGGACTGAATTCGGCGTCACTCGATTGTAGTTCTGTCAATTCAGGACGTTCCGGACCAACGATCGAACATCCCCTAAGTCTCGACAACTGGGTAGCGTGGTGACGTAATTAAACACAACGGAAAGGTTGGGGCTGTTGTGATTGGTTGAGAGATTTCTTATTCTGTCGGCCCCTGCGCCCTGACCCGAAATTCCTAAACGGTCAATCGTGTATATCCCTAATAAATGGGCTAAATCTATTAGGGCCCGTTTAAGGTCGCTGAGATGTAAACAAAGTTTGGCCGTGGACCTTATAACAAGGTCCATGGGTTGGTGCACGTGACTGTTGGAGAGATTGTAGGTTGGGGTTAGGGTGAGTGTTAGAGCTAGGTCCCTAGCCTTATTTACATCTCAGCGACGCTGACGAAATCTTGAGGTAACCTTAGAAATAGATCTGTTTTGACCATATTGAATGTGTTCTGAAATGAAATGAGGTTGAATGTTATTTGCACCACCCGGCGAGCATGCGCCCGGCAAAGTTCTATGGTCGCGGAAGCGTATACATTGATATTATTAAGTCAGTGATCTGCTCATTATTGAATGTTATCAATACAGGAATCCACTCATGTCTATACGATATCACCCCCGGTGGAAGTGAACGTTAAACTCCAGAAACGAACGAACGAAATGTTATAAAAAGGAGTTATCTCCCATGATATCGTGGATCCAGATGTCGGAATGATTGTAATTGGACGGATTACAGACCCTAAGATTATTACATGCACTGCCAATATAGGGCCGGAATAAGACCAACAGGGGTTAAATGATTTCGGTGCCATGATACATATATAATTTAAAACATAAACAATAATAAAGCACAAACAACCGCTTAGCACGTGATATTGAGTTTTTCTTGGAATTTATACACTAACACATCATCATTAATTGGGAGAAAACAGCTAACTTTAGGAAAAGACAAAACAATGAAAAACTGATTGAAAATTAATTCTAAATCAATTTTGCCATGTAACAAAGCAGACATTCTGTGGTGCCCCCATTACCATAGTGCCCTAATCACGTGCTTATTTTGTTTAATGATTGATCAAGCCCTGTCCCCAAGGGCCATATGTAGCTGGCCTAGGCGTCCTGTATCTACTAATTTTCTTACTAGTCATAAATAAATTGCTTATATTTTTAGGGCGCCCATCTTCCATCATTGAGCAATGCTCAGAGGCGCTTTACAAAAATATAAATTGAATTATATTAGATTTAAATCTACATAAAAGTCTAAATGATAACATTACATACCCATAAATAAAAGCCTGTGCAAAAGAATGTGATTTTTAGTGATTATTTTAGAAGGGGGGACCCAGCGGCCGATGTTTGACCCAGTAATGTCCCAACCAACCAGAAAATGCCCAAGTGGGAATTCAGGCCATGATGTAAATATGGATGGGTGTTTAAGCGATGTGGTTACTTGGCGTAGTAGACAGCATTATCAAAACTAATTGGTACGGGTTCCCGTTCAGGATGATAGCTGAAATAAAAACACAAGTGGTTAATTGGGTGTTCTCGATAAACTGGGATTAGGGTTATCTCCCTCTAATAAAGTTAAATTATTCACTAAAAATAAAATGAAATGAAATGGGGTTTTACGTCCTACTGTTCTGCTCCGATTGCGCTAATGAATACGGCATACAGTGTGCTATAAGGGAAATTTGGCCCCTGCAGGCAGTGGCACTACGGCCAACCTTATATCGAATTCTAGCTGCCAAGGAATCTTTTACGTACTAGTACATGCCAATGTATACACGGGACCTCGGATTTTTGCCTCGTCCGAATGACTAGACAGCTGTCCTTGTCAGGCCCTCCGTCCTGCACCACTGACAAGGGGGAACCACGTCGAAAAATCCCGATGAACGAGCGACCTCCAGCCTAGCGAGTCAGCGTCTTACTCACTTTGCCACAGTGACCCCTATTCACTGAAACCGGAATCCGAATCCATACAGACCATAAAAATGTGAAACATTGTTTTATTTGGTTTTGTTTACTTTACCCCTCATCTTAGGCAGTTGACAGATACACGATGTGACCTACAGTTGAGGAGGAGTAAAAGGTCAATTGAATCCAAGTTCAGTCTTCCAGAAAGGGTAAGAGTTGGTATTCACCAAAATACTCATTTATATAAAGCGGCCATTGTGGACATCGGAAAATTCCCGAACCTCCCCTATCGGTCTACAATTGGCATCTTCCAAAGTAAAGCTGACCCCCGTCAGTGCACTTCCTGAAGGAAACAAACTATAAATACGGACAATCTCAGGACGGTAATATATACAACAAAGCCGACAGATCACCATAGTAACAACAGATGCGTAGCAACACAAGGTGTATTAAAATGGTAAATGACAATAATAAAGACCCGAATGGGTAGAAAGAACCCGATAGAGACTCACCCAGGATAGAAGGACACCGATAGAGACTCACCCGGGATAGAAGGACATCGACAGAGACTCACCCGGGATTCAAAGACATCGACAGACTCAACCGGGATAGAAGGACATCGGTAGAAACTCACCCGGGATAGAAGGACATAAGTAGAAACTCACCCGGGATAGAAGGACATCGATAGAAACTCACCCGGGATAGAAGGACATCGATAGAGACTTACCCGGGATAGAAGGACATCGATAGAGACTTACCCGGGATAGAAGGACATAAGTAGAGACTCACCTGGGATAGAAGGACATCGGTAGAGTTTTCATAGATTGGTCATCTGAATATTCATCCCTGTAAAATAGAGTTTAATTTGATAACAGTTTCCTGTTATATTCTCATCAACTACTCCTCTGGTTCGGGGGAGGGGGGGAATTTTCAAAAGATTTGACATTGAGTAAAGGGGCGTGGTGTCGATTCCTCGCCTATACGTGACAAGGGGTAGGGTCACCTGTTTAACCTTGTGGGGTTTTCTCCGGCCCTACGATTTCCTCCCACTGCTAAAGACCCCTACACACAAGCGAATTATGGAAATAAGTTAAACAATATGTTAGTCACGAAATGACCTAGTCTGTGTCGAGTGTACGTTAAACGTGCTCTCATTTGAAAACAGGTGGAATTCCATGGTTACAAATTTGGCCGAAAAATTATCATGATCTGATTCAAAAAGGCGCAGATTGTGACAGGACCTCAGGAATCTGACACGTTTGTTATCCGCAGTCAAGAGCATTGGTACTCCTCTTGCAGAAACTTTTGCAATTCCTAACTCCTTGGAGATAATGTGCCCAACCCTCTCATGAGATATATCCACAACACTGGTAATATGTCAAGTGGTCAATCATCGATCAGCCATCACCATGTCATGCAACCCGGGTAATGTTTTCTTGAATGGTTGCTGTTGATGGTCTTCCAGGACGCGGGTCATCGACAAGGTTCTTTCTGCCACGCTTAAATTCCACAACCAAGGTCTTTACTATGGAAAAGGAAGGGGAATCATTCCATAAAGTGGAGACCATGTCGGCACGTGTCTGTGTTGGGGACAGTCCTTTCTTTGCTGGTACTTGATGGTGCCCTATAACCAGTTTTGTCTTTCTGGTGATTTCATTGGGTAGGTTCACAACATGGTCTAGTATGTCCTGCAGATGCGATGAACCGTCCATTTTTCGGGCACAAACATCAGAGAATGAGACCATATATCATAGAAATATAATTGTAAAATTAAATCTCTCACGGTTTACATATTGAATACTATAATACTTAAGACCTCGCGTAAAAACATTCTGAAAATTCGGGTGACAAAGAAAATTTTCGGCAAATAGCCCCAGCCCCCCACCCTCAATTGAGATTGCCCCCCACGCCTATGCTGCCAACTGCCTTTTAGATCGTTCGTGACAATATACATATAAAAGAACAATGATAATGGCAACTTCCGAATAAATATTTTGCTTCCCGTTTCTCAGAAACACGTAGCGAATTGTGCCTTGTTCCAGTATCATTTGTATTGTTGCGTTGTGCCGTTCTCCTGAAATCCATTAATAATACAAACACTAGTGGATTACTTACTTGTCTGCTGTGTTTCGTCTCCGACATATAATACATATCACTAGTATGGTTAATGATGGTACAATTATAGCTACAACTACTATAGCTGATATAACCCACGGTCTGTTGAACTGAAACATATAATATACTATTATAACCCACGGTCTGGTGAACTGAAACATATAATATACTGATATAACCCACGGTCTGGTGAACTGAACATATAATATACTAGTATAATTACAACTGACAACGCACAAACATAAAATGAACTTAAATACACAGTCTGAAATGGGGTTTACCGTCCTACCCGTCTGGACCAACCTATCCAACGTAAATTATCAGTGGACTACGTCGTATTTAAACTAAAGGTGGGGGATTCCGGTAGGGGGTCTATAATATGTAGCCCCTGATACTAAAGGTAGGGGCTTGAGGTAGGGGGTGAGCTTACCTATGTAAAAATTAGTTTTCAAACTGTGTATTTGAGACAAGATTGTAAGACTCACTAAGTTTGTAGATGATCAAGAACTCCATCAAAGATTTAACTAATTTTATAAATTCGAAGATATTGCTAATTTTATAAATTCGAAGATTTTATTAATTTTATAAATTCGAAGATTTTATTAATTTTATAAATTCAAAGATTTGACTAATTTTATAAATTCAAAGATTTGACTAATTGGGTATGAAAAATGTATATTTTGTGATGCTTACTAATGGTTCAGCTCCTTCTGGATTGGGTTTTACTGTTGCTCCTGTTGCTCCTGTTGCTCCTACGTCGTTAGGTGTTGTAGATTCAGCCGTAGGTTTATCAGTAACACGATCTCCTTTCAAATAAAACAGATCAATTAAAGCACGGCCATTAATGGAATTAACAAATGAAAATGAAATGAAATGGTGTTTAACGTCCTATTGTACTGCCCCAACTGGGCTAATGAAGACGGGCATACGCCATACAGTGCGCTATGAGGGAAATTGTGCTAGGACTGCGGCGCTAAGGGGCACACTCTTTTGTCGAATTCAACTGCCAAAGATACTTTTATGTGCGGGCCACCCGAACGACTATACGTTGTCCCTTGACAGGCCCTCTGTCCTGCACCACTGACAAGGGGAGTGGGGGGGGGCCTGCCGGAAAATCCCAATGAATTTTCTCGGCCATCACCGGAATCGACCACGGAGCGAACCAGCGACTTACGGACCGAACTTCCCTGGCTCCCTCATGGAATTACAACCCATTTTATTCAACCACCATTAATACGTCAGCTTGAGATATTTGAAATACACGGAATTCTGTTTGATAAATGTGTTGGACCATTAGTTTATAAAATGGTTAACAAGAACCGTCTTCATTAGCCCAGTCGGCGGAGAACAGTAGAATGTTAAAACCCCACTACATTTGCAGAGATCGGGACTACAACCTAACAGTTGGCTAAATAATTCGGATAATAATTTAAAGACTCGTAGCCTAGTCTCCAGCAGACAAGTAGGCGCAAAACAGGGCCCTTATTCACGAAAACTTAAACTAAGATACAATCGAAATTTTAAGAAATACTGCAATTCGATTGGCTGACCAATATGCAAATTGGATATATGCAAACTGATTTTACTGGTCAGCCAATCGAATTGCAGTATTTCTTAAAATTTCGATTGTATCTTAGTTTAAGTTTTCGTGATTAAGGGCCCAGGACGTTAAACCCCATTTCGTTTTCAACAGCCCAATCGGCGCAGAACAGGAAATTAAGCCTAGTTTCCTATCCATTAGCCAATTTGGATCAAAACAGTAGGACGTTAAACCCCCGTTTCATCTTTATTACCCCAGTTGGAGTGGAACAATAGAACGCCAGACAACGTTTCATTTTCACTACACCAGTCGAAGCAGAGCAGTAGGAGACTAAACCCAATTTGATTTTATTTCGGTGACATGCTGGTGACATAGTCAAAGTCAACAGGACGTGAATTGGATACTAACAGACAGGTCTGAACTGGATCACCTGCTCTCATTTATTGAGCTCGCGTGAGATTCACCATAGAACTATTTTAAAAAATACTGATCACCATGGAAATCCTGAGATATACAAACTGAAAGTAGCATACTATTAAACATGTAGCTGCCCACCCTACACTTCAACCTAACCAAACTTTTTAACTCTGTCGTGAAAGATGCCAACAAAAATCGGGGGATATAATAAATCAAAGGAACTACATTCAATCGATAATGAGGTAGCCAGACCAACGTATGGTGTACTGTGTCCATATATACGGTCCATAGTTGTTTATATACAGCTGCTGTGGATCTAACGAGAGGTGAACTTTAGAGTTTGATGTTAACACTTAAGCGGACTGTGTATTTTACATGTTTACAATATGATGGACTGTGTATATGTTAGATGATACTGTGTATAATACATGTTTACAATATGATGGACTGTGTATATTACATGATGGACTGTGTATATTACATGTTTACAATATGATGGACTGTGTATATGTTAGATGATACTGTGTATAATACATGTTTACAATATGGTAGACTGTGTATATATGATGGACTGTGTATATTACATGATGGACTGTGTATTTTACATGTTTACAATATGATGGACTGTGTATATGTTAGATGATACTGTGTATAATACATGTTTACAATATGGTAGACTGTGTATATATGATGGACTGTGTATATTACATGATGGACTGTGTATTTTACATGTTTACAATATGATGGACTGTGTATATGTTAGATGATACTGTGTATAATACATGTTTACAATATGGTAGACTGTGTATATATGATGGACTGTGTATATTACATGATGGACTGTGTATATTACATGTTTACAATATGATGGACTGTGTATATGTTAGATGATACTGTGTATAATACATGTTTACAATATGATGGACTGTGTATATTGCATGTTAACAATATGGTGGACTGTGTATATTACATGTTTACAATATGATGGACTGTGCATATTACATGTTTACAATATGATGGACTGTGTATATTGCATGTTTACAATATGATGGACTGTGTGCATTGCTGGTGGACTGTGTATAATACATGGTGGACTGTGTATATTACATGGTGGACTGTGTATATTACATGGTGGACTGTGTATATTATTGTGTATATGTTAGCTGATATTGTGTATATTACCTGTTAAGTATATTTGAACTGTTAGAGTAGATGAGCCTGTATATTGCCCATCTGTAACTGTAAACAGTAGTCTATATGTTGCATTAGATGTTAACATCGCTCCATTACTTACTGATACTGTATAACCTGAAATATAAATATAAATACATCATTCAAGCAATTTGTTCATGAAATAATATGTGGTTTAATGTCCTATGTTGCTGCACCACACTGGCTATTAAAGACGGGTTTATGCCATCCAGTGTGCTATGGGTGTGTGTGTGTGTGTGTGTGTGGGGGGTGTCAGTGTGCTATGGGTGGGTGGGTTAGTGGAGGGGGGTGTCAGTGTGCTATGTGGGTGTGGGGGGGCAGTGTGCTATGAGTGTGTGTGGGGGGGGGGGGGGCAGTGTGCTATAGGTGGGGGGCAGTGTGCTATGGGGATGGGGGGACAGTGGTGTTTCTACCTACTTTTGTAAAGCTTTTTCTAGTGCCCTGATTAGTTCGCCTCCTTCGCTGTCTAGAATAAACATCCCTATTTTCTGAGGCAACTCCCAAATTACAATAATAATAATAATCAGTTTATATGGCACTGAATGTTCCAGCTTATACCCTACTCCTAGGTGATCTTTATAATTAAAATACATTTAACTTAAAACATTAAAATACATTTAACTTAAAACATTAAAATACATTTAACTTAAAACATTAAAATACATTTAACTTCAAACATTAAAATACATTTAACTTAAAACATTAAAATACATTTAACTTAAAACATTAAATAAGTAAAATGTCAACATGTTCATAGTTTAAAAGCACGTTTAAACAGTTCAATTTTAAGATTCTTTTTAAAAACGAGAGGGAGAGAGAGAGGGGGGGGGGGGAGAGAGAAATGGGGTTTAACGTCCACTCGACACAAACTAGGTCATTTCGGGACTAACATATGGTTTAAGTTTTATTTCAATAATTCGCTTGCGCGTAGGAGTCTTTAGCAGTGGGAGGAAACCGTTGAACCCGGAGAAAACCCACGAGGTTTTTAAAAACAACAACATCAGTAGAGTTTTTTTTTACGTGACTAGGTAGCTCATTCCACACTTTTGCAGAGGTGTAAATAAAGGTCCGTCCGGTCTCCAGTTTTAGTTTTTAGTGTAGGAACATGAGGCAAGCTTTTATCACCGGAGCGCAAGTTCTTGGATGGTTTATACAGTGTTAAATTTCATTAAAAAAAAGCATGGGGAGCAGCTATTATGTAATCAATTAAAATACTGCGGGGAGGAGCAGCTATTATTTAAAAAAATTAAAAGTTCAAAGGTCAACATACTATTAGTATCAAAATTAAAAGCAGCATCAGTCGCCATCTTTACTGTTATAACATCATTTACATCCGGGTCAGACGTTTCTATGGTGAAGATGACAGTTCCAGCAGGTGTATCTGATAGTAGTGTGATAGTCTGGGGTAAATTGGTGAATTGTGGGGCTCTGTTTTGAGGAGAAACGTCCGAGGTGGTCTTCGTGGATAGTGTGGTGTCGTCCTGGCCTCTAGTTGTGGTTTCAGTAGACGCTTCATTAACAGATGTTGTCGTATTCATAATGTTAACGATCGTCATGGTAACGGTGGTCTCGTCCAGGACTCTAGTTGTGGTTTCAGTAGACGCTTCATTAACAGATGTTGTCGTATTCATAATGTTAACGATCGTCACGGTAACGGTTGCTGAGCTAGACAGTCCTCCTGAATCAGTAGCTATTACCATAAACACTGCTGGGTTTGGTGACGTCGATGGGTAATCCATACTAAATGTAATACGCCCCAATGATTGGTCAATAGAAACACCACTGGCGATATTGGCCAATGAAAACACCACAGTGTCGTTTATGTCTGGATCCGAGGCAAGTTGTGATAAACTTGACACAACAGATTGTCCAGTCTGGAATAGAAACATAAATAGCATGAAACGAACGAGAAACATTGAGAATTTGGCTTAAAGTTGCAATTTCATATTTTTAAGTCATATTTTTAAAATGTATTAAAATAGATGGTATCTATAAACAGTCCTACCTTGTTAAAGAATAATCCTATTAATCCTATAAATTGGCAAAAATATCAAATTCAAACGTTTGAAGATAGCTATTCCATTGGGGGAATAGGAAAACAAGGGGGGTAATTGTGTTATTATTTCCAGTGTCAATGAATTTTAAGTGTGGGAAATAATGCCTATAAGTTGACAACCTATTGAGCAAAAGACATAGAAATAATTATGTTTTGACTTTCTTAGAAAATATGAAATTCTCGCTTTAAAACAAAAACCACTTAAATAGTAAGTTTATTAATATTTGTTATGCTATGGGGTTTAAGGCCCTACTTTTCTACACCGAATGATAAATAAGATGGGTGTATGTTATGAGGTATAATTTGCCAGGACCACGCGCTTTCGCCGGTTGTTCCTCGCATTCCAACCACCAAGGTTTCTTTTACACTAGGACGAACATAGGACCCCCCGATTAGCGAATCAAAGTCTTACTCACTGAGTCACTGTAGCTGCCTTAGTTCAAATAGAAAACAAAATATACATACTTTTCCTTCATCGACTGTAATGTTGTATTGAGTTTGGGTAAAAGTCGGCGGCTCGTTAACATCTTGTAGCTTGACCGTCAGAATTGATACATTAGAGAACAAAACACCATCAAAAGCTGTAATCTCCAGATTTATAGTTTGTTCAAATGTTTCATAGTTCAATATACTTCCATTTGTAATTGATATTACACCATCTGAAATACAAATATTACATAGTTTAAAACACTTTGTAATTGATATTAGACAATATGAAGTAAGAATATTACATAGCGTAGCATTCCGCCGTTTGTAATTTATATTACATCCACTGAAATACAATTATATAGCTTAACATCCCTCCATTTGTAATTAATATTACATCATCTGAAATGTAAAAGGGTCATATTTAACACACTTTGTAATTGATATTACACTATCTCAATTACAAATATTACATAGCTTAACATCTCTCCATTTGTAATTGATATTACATCATCTGAAATGTAAATAGATCATATTTAAACACACTTTGTAATTGATATTACATCATCTGAATTACAGATATTATAGTTTAACACACTTTGTAATTGATATTAAACCATCTGAATAACAAATATTACAAGTTTCACATACTATGTAATTGATATTATATAGTTTAACATTATGTCATTTGTAATTGATATTACATGATCTGAAATATAAATACAAAACACTAAGGAGAAATTAAACCAAATCAAATTATGATCGTGCTATGGGGGATTTTGACCGGACAGTAGCGATTTCGTCTACAGTTCTTCTAATCATAATTTCCAAGGGTTCAGTTACGTGCACGCCAATGTGTTAGCGAGTCTTTTGTTATTCGTCTCATGTGAATGACTAGATGTCCTTCCTTGCCAAGCCCTCGGTCCTGCAACATTGACAAGAAGGAATCGCGCTGAAATTCTTAACGGACGTCCTCTGTATGACGCAGTTCTTTGGCAGACCCCCATCGTCTTGTATCACCGGGTCTGTGACATTTGCGGGTATCGAATATCGTGTCAGGACTGATAGAACATATCGTATTAAAGCTCTGTATAATATAAATTATACTAACCAGGACTGATGGAGAATACCGTGTCAAAACTCTGCATCCTAAAAGTTACGGTGTCACCCGGATTAATGTCTGTAGCTGTAACCGTATATATAACCGTTCCTGTGGCTGTGTTCTCATTCAGTTGAATGGTGTCAGGTAAGTTGGTTATAACTGGTCCCTGTTCTTCTAAATTTATGATTACAAGATAGGGCACTTCGCCTTGTAATCCGCCACTATCTATATAGAATGAATGAATGAATGAATAAATTGTATTATATAGAGATTGGTTGAGAGTACAAATGGTTGTCACCTTGTATTTGTTTACTGGATGGTTAAGACATTACTGATAAGTCATGGCGTGCAAACCTGGTTCCATCTGGTTAAAATACAGATCTATATTTCGTTTCGATTTTTTATGACAGGTAGTAGGGGAAGGTCGCGTCAGGGGTCGTACCAGCGGTTTTTGATCCTATGACGTCAGACATTGATTAATCAATCAGCGTTGACGTTTCTAGGGCTTTACCTACAGTTCCGTGACGCCAAGAACTCGCCGTAACAGACCGTTTCGATTGGCTAATTCCTCAAATTAGCTAGAACGTCTGTTATAGTAGAATATAAAGAATAAACTCACCAGTCGCTCGAACAACTAATATCACCTCTTTAGGATAAATAGTTCTATTGGTTCCATAATCCTCAGCAAATACAATATGTCCATTTGATGAATCGATTTGAAATAAATGTGTATAAACGTCAGGCATGAGACTGTATGTAAATACCGTGTCTGTTAAATCAGGATCTTGAACCAACTCTACCAGGCTATTAACAATAATTCTTCCTGCCTATTAAAAATAAATTAATTCTTGGTATTTTTTAATGTTAATTATTTATGTTTAGAGGCAGCTGTTTCTCATTCTGAACAAAAACGACTAAATTAGATTTAAAGAGTGAGCCCCAACGTCACGACGCCATTAGAAATCCAAGGCTTGCCGGTTTAGCTGTAGCATTAACATGATGGACTTACTGGTCTAGCTGTAGCATTAACATGATGAACTTACGGGTCCAGTTGGAGTTATATAATAGTAGTAATATTGTTGTAACATGATAGACTTATTGCACAGTTGTGGTAACATGAGAGATTTTAAGACTTACAGGCAGAGTTGTAGTAACACGATAGACTTACTGGTCAATTTAAGGTAAAATGGTAGACTTACTGGTCGAGCTGTAGTAACACGATAGACTTACTGTCAAATTGTAATAACTTGGTAGACTTACTGGTCGAGCTGTAGTAATATGATAGACTTACTGTCAAGTTGTGGTTACATTATATATTCTTACTGGTCCGACTGTAATAAATGATGGACTTAATGGTCCGGTTGTAGTCCTAACATTATCATTATTTTAAGTAAAATAGTTTGAGATTTTAGAAGATGTTTGTTCTGTGAACTGATATTTCTGGTGGTAGTATAGCGATGAATAAGCGCCATACAATACTTGTATGGAATCAAGTTAGACATTTAGAGTAGGTTCTGCCCTGTAGCCAAGTACGACCGGCCGGCACTTCCGTTTCCGCCTTCGTCCCGTGCTCCGTGTTTTTCTTGAGCCACTTTGAGATTGTATGCTGGTATGTCATGTCATATATAAAGTTTGCTTAACCTGGAGTTGTTGTTGGTATTATTGTTGGATGGGCCCTTATCATATTACTGGCGAAGACTTTTTTTTATATAAAATGAAAGACTTACTGGTCCGGTTGTAGTCGTAACATTATAACTTGTGGAAGTAAAATACGGCGGTTCATTAACGTTAACAACATGTACAGTAAGTATCTCCTCCACTGTATGATGTGTGTTACCAACAATGATACCGATGCTCACTGTTTTAGGGTCCAGAGTCTCATAATCCAGATCTTTAGTTCGGTTGACGGTTATCACCCCAGCTGTAAATATAAGATAATTCGCAGGGGTGTTATCATCCCGGTTGTAAATATAAGATAGTTTATCGGGGGGGATAATCATCTGTCAGATAGTTCACCGGGGTATTATCACCCCAGCTGTAAATATAAGATAATTCGCAGGGGTGTTATCATCTCGGTTGTAAATATAAGATAGTTTATCGGGGGCATAATCATCTGTCAGATAGTTCACCGGGGTATTATCACCCCAGCTGTAAATATAAGGTAGTTCATAGGGGTATTGTCATCACAGCTGTAACTATAGAATAGGTCACCAGGGTATTATCACCCCAGCTGTAAGCTGTAAATGTAAGATAGGTATTATCACCCCAGCTGTAAACATTAAATATATAGTTCACAAGAGTATTATCACCCCAGCTGTAAATATAAGATAGTTCACAAGGGTATTACCATCCCAGATGTAAATATAAGATAATTCACAGGGATATTATCATCCCAGCTGTAAATGTAAGATAGTTCAGGGTATTACCACCCCAGTTGTAAATATAGGATAGTTCAGCGGGATATTATCATCAAAGCTGTAAATGCAAGATAGTTTACCCGGGTTATTATCATCCCAGCTGTAAGATAGTGCCTTAAGGAATTAAGTATAACTGATTTTAGCCAATACGTTACTGGTTGTGGTGTTGGGATAATGGTGTTAAAATCCCATTGTGGGTCGAATTAAATCAAACCAGGGCGAGGACGCCCCTGCAGAACAAATTCCTTCGAGCGTGTTTCCGCATACAATTTGGCTGTACACGTAAACGAACCTAGATAGAAAAGTCACCATTCACCCGTCGCATCAGACACGTATTAAAAATGCCACATAATGGTGTTAGAATCACATAGTAGGTCGAACTATATCAAGCCAGGATATAGGTCCCGTTGAGTGGAATGAAAACCGGGCTCCCGTATACGATTTGGTTGTACACGTAAAAAAAACCCTAGATAGAAAAGCCATCATCCACCAATCGCATAAGACACGTATCAAAAATATACCACATGTTAGTCCCAGAATGACCCAAAGCAACGCGTCCACTAGTGATCCAAGACTTCAAGGCAACGCGTCCACTAGTGATTCAAGACTTGAAGTCAACTAGTTACTTTATAACGTAATTCCTTAGAGCCTAATAGAGCAGTAGGCTCTAAGGAATTACGTTATAAAGTAACTAGAAGTCAACGTGTCCACTAGTGATTTAAGATTTCAAGTCCAAGGCGGACGTAAGTCAACGTGTCCACTAGTGATTCAAGACTTCAAGTCTAAGACGAACCCAAGTCAACGTGTTCACCGGTGATCCAAGACTTTAAATCCCAGGCTGGCCAAAGACAACGTGTTCACTAGTGATTCAAGACTTTAAGTAATCGATAAAATAAAATGACCACGATTGGTGAAACAGTTTTCCATTCTTTAGTTACTCGCAGTTATAGTAACTCACATTGGGAGTTGATTAATCCCTTTAATTACTTATACTGGGAGTTGAAAACCGCTTTAATTACCCATATTGACAGCTGATAAACAGCTTTAATTATTTATAATGAGAGTTGATAAACTGCTTTAATTACTTATAAACCGCCTGTAGGTTGATCACGTTATGTAGTAACCCATAGTACGAGCTCATAATAACAAACAACGTCCGGGAGAGGGTTTTACAGAGGTTACGTCTATTCCCTAATCATTGGAGGGTTTTACAGGGCCGTAACTAGCTCAGAGCAACGAAGGGGGCGGGAAGTGTTCTCGGGGTGCTGTAATATTGACGGACAATGCATATCTATTTTTTTTATGGTTCAAAATTTTTTCACGGGGGGGGGGGGGGGAACTTTTTGCAGGGCCCCCCACCCTAGTTACGGGCCTGGGGTTTTACCTTGGCTAAACATGTCCCTTAATTCATTCATATATTCTGAATATAAATATATTGTTTAGTTACTTACATTGAGAGTCGATAGTTAAGTAAGTATTAACGAACGACTTTGGATTAAGAAATTTGTAAGTGAGAGTATCCGTTGTGTCTGGGTCTCTAGCTGAGACCGTAAATACAACACCTCCGGTCAGGGCATTCTCTGGGATGTTAGTGGAGTTGGGTAGATTGAGGAATTCTGGTTGTTGATTGAGGTTGACGATTGTTAAAATAAAGTTGGTTGTAGCTGATAAGTCCGAGTCATCTGTAGCTTGAACTGTTAGTGTTAGAGTTGATGGCAGACCATTTGGATCAGTGTCGTAATCTCGGGAATATATCATTTTACCGGTTGTTGAGTTGATGGTAAAATAGTGGGAATAGGTCGAGTTGATCAAGCTAAAGGTAATGATTGAATTGTCTTTATCTGTTACTGAGTTCATCAGTGATGGAATAACCACATCGCCTGCCTGTGAAAACAACAAATATTTGGCGAAGTCTAAAAAAGGAATAACCAGATTTAAGATAGGAATGTACTCAACTTTTAATCACTGCTTATGAGAATTATCTTTAATTCAGAGACACAAAACAGTACACATAGTAACTTATTGTTGTAATTGATAAAGTTTTATAAAGGGCTATATTTTACTTAAAAGAAGCCGGATAATTTTAAGTAAATTCTAAACTTAAGTCTGAGAATGCTTTGTGAACTCGGGACCAAGGTTCGATTATGGCTTACAGGTAGGCAGTAATAATTAATGTTGGTAAAACAGACATATTTATAGAATTAATATCGGAGGTCTGAGTCATATAATTTTAGTTCAGCGACGGCCATATTTACCGATGCGAGTTTTAATGTTTGCTCCCGATGAATCCGAGGGTATAACACTTAGATTTTTTACGCGGCCAGTCATGAAAATCCCATTAATTCTACTGTACTCGGGAGATATTTGATTGAACAATAAGAATAGACACGTTCCGTCAAAAACCCACTTTTTCAATCTCAGTACAGCAATGGCTAGAGAGGATTTTCTCGGGTCATTGCCCCAGGAATATGACGCCTTCGTTAACCTGTTTATTGTAGTTGGATTGAGGATAGACACTCCGTCAAAAACCCAACTTTTCAGTCTCAGTACAGCAATGGCTATAGAGGGATTTATCGGGTCATTGCTTGACGAATAAGACACTTACCTTGCCTTCATTGACCTGTTTATTATAGCTGGATTGCGAAAAGACCGGAGGATGAGTTAATTCTACTTTTATTTTAAATTCTATATTAACAGGTAAAGTTCTGAGTATACCATCATCTACTGATAAGATCAAACTAAAGTTGCTTGAAGGGAAACCATCAGATTTTAAATGTAGTCCCGGTTTAACAGATACTTGTTGACCTGAAATATGTATAGCATGGTCAATACTGGTCTGATCGTATCTACTGTCTGGTATCCTACAAGTGATCACGTTATGGGCTTTCCTGAGTAAGTACTGGTCTGATCTTATCTACTGTCTGGTATAACCTTGCCTACATGTGATATGGTCTTTACTGGGTAAGTAACTTACCCAGTAAAGACCATATCACATGTAGGTAAGGTGCCATAAGTACTGGTCTAATCGTATCTAATGTCTGTCTGGGGTTTAAAGTCCTAGGCAACACTAACAAACAAGGCTATTCTATATGTGACAAGCAAGGCTATCCAAACTATATGTGTGACAAACAAGGCTATCCAAAATGGCGGAACTTACTTGTTTGATTAAAGGTAAAGAAACCAGCAGCTGATATTGGATCCCACGTGAGATGAAAGGTCATGACGTCACCAACATCCGGGTCATATGTATCTACCGTATAAATTACGCCTTGTGCTTCTTCCGGTATTTCTACAGCAGTTGTGGGTAGATTTCTAAATACCGGCTCTGTATTGTTAGCTGTAATATATATATATATATATATATATATATAATAGACAAGCTGTGTATTATTAGCTGTAATATTTCTATTATAATAGTTAGAGGGGGAAATGGGGTCTAACGTGAGTAGGGATCTTTTGCAGTGAGATGAAATCTGTGGAGTTTTGCAGTGAGTTGAAACTAGATTACCTGCGAGATTGGACATGCGACGTTACTTCTTGTCAGCATAAGCTGGGAATTGAAACCACGCCACTTGACTGAATGACAGATCTTAGACACCAAACATCCCTGCCCCTCCCCGTCACCTCCCTGCTCTGAGACAAACATGTCGTGTATTGTAATAATATAACATGACTGTTGGTTGTAGCATCTGAACTGGTATCATGACGTCACTAGAACATCTAGCTCTTGAACACAAGTCATGATGTCACTAGAACATATTATGATATAATATATACCTTACCGTTTATACACAGTCCACGATGACACCACTGAAATAAATATAAAAATATCGTCAATCTTTACAACTCAATCTACAGACTATAATTTATATACAATCTACCACTTGTAAATTACAGTCTATAACTTTGTACTAGATCACAAACTATAAACAATCTAAAACTTGTAAATTACTTTATAGAGATCGTAAGGCGTACATCATTCTGTAAATTACTTTATAGAGATCGTAAGTCGTACAGCATGCTGTAAATTACTTTGCAAGGATTTTAGGCCGTAAATATGAAACTAAATGCTGTAGTGCAGTGCTATAATATTAAAATATACATATTAACAGACGCACTTGATCAATGGATCCATGGTCGCTCAGTGAGTTGGAGGTTCTGTGTTTAATCAATGCATTGGCCAAGAAAGGTCATCGGGTTTTCCCAGCATGGTTTTACCTTGTCAGTGGGACAGGATAGCTGTCTAGTTGTTCGGATAAAAAGAAAACCTATGGTCCCGTTTACACGTAAAAGATCCCTTGGCAGATGGAATTCGATATAAGAGTAGGCCGTAGTGCCCCTGTCTGGGCGAAATACCCCTCAAAGCCCCTCTTCATTATCCCAGTAGTCTGAGCAGAACAATACAAATCAAACCCCATTTCATTTCATTTCAGCTTGGTTGGTGCACAAAATTAGGACGTTAAACACAATTTCATTTATTTACTTTATTTGTATCACATGTTGTATATTCCATGGGTTTGGCTTATATACGTCAAGCATCGTACAATACACTAAATAACATAACTTACTTTATTTGTATCACATGTTGTATATTCCATGGATTTAGCTTATATTCGTCAAGCATCGTACAATATACTATACTAAATAATATTACTTACTTTATTTGTATCACATGTTGTATATTCCATGGATTTAGCTTATATTCGTCAAGCATCGTACAATACACTAAATAATATAACTTACTTTATTTGTATCACATGTTGTATATTCCATGGATTTAGCTTATATTCGTCAAGCATCGTACAATATACTAAATAATATAACTTACTTTATTTGTATCACAGGTTGTATATTCCATGGATTTAGCTTATATTCGTCAAGCATCGTACAATATACTAAATAATATAACTTACTTTATTTGTATCAAAGGTTGTATATTCCATGGATTTAGCTTATATTCGTCAAGCATCGTACAATATACTAAATAATATTACTTACGTTATTTGTATCACATGTTGTATATTCCATGGATTTAGCTTATATTCGTCAAGCATCATACAATATACTAAATAATATAACTTACTTTATTTGTATCACAGGTTGTATATTCCATGGGTTTAGCACTTCCACATTGAGTATAATCGTCGGGTATTGTACAAAATACTAAATAACATAACTTGGCTTTATCAGTCCTGTAGGCGAACTTTAAAAAAAAAAAAAAATAAAAACATACCGCAAACAAAGGAATGGCGTTGAAGGAATCCCGGGAAAATAGAGGGGAAATCCCGAAAACTCCCAGAGAAAGGTAAATCCCGTATGACGTCACACTGTGAAGAAAGGAACAATAATGGCGTTGCTTCAATCATTTTGTGAAGCAAGATGGGGCACGGTATAAAAATAATTCAATTCTCCAAAGGCTCAATCAACGAGTTTAGTATTGGTCGCGGTTCTATCGCGGTGTTGGAATTCGAATAAGAGTAGACAGAAACGCTCTCATTGCACACTGCATGGCATTTGTTCTCATTGCACACCGCAAGGCGTTTGTTCTCACTGCACACTGCATGACGTTTGTTCTCACTGCACACTGCGTGGCATTTGTTCTCATTGAACACCGCATGGCGTTTGTTCTCATTGCACACTGCATGGCGTTTGTTCTCACTGCACACTGCATGACGTTTGTTCTCATTGCACACTGCGTGGCGTTTGTTCTCACTGCACACTGCGTGGCGTTTGTTCTCACTGCACACTGCGTGGCATTTGTTCTCATTGCACACCGCATGGCGTTTTATCTCATTGCACACTGCATGGTATTTGTTCTCATGGCACACCGCATGGCGTTTGTTCTCACTGCACACTGCGTGGCGTTTGTTCTCATTGCACACTGCGTGGCATTTGTTCTCATTGCACACCGCATGGCATTTGTTCTCATTGCACACTGCATGGCGTTTGTTCTCACTGCACACTGCATGACGTTTGTTCTCATTGCACACTGCGTGGCGTTTGTTCTCACTGCACACTGCGTGGCATTTGTTCTCATTGCACACCGCATGGCGTTTTATCTCATTGCACACTGCATGGTATTTGTTCTCATGGCACACCGCATGGCGTTTGTTCTCACTGCACACTGCGTGGCGTTTATTCTCATTGCACACTGCGTGGCGTTTGTTCTCACTGCAAGGCGTTTTCCCGTCTTCATTAACCGAGTCGGTGCTGACAAGTAGGACTTTAAACCCCATTATATTTTCCCTACATGCGACAACTAATCAATGCGACCTGTTCCCTTACGAGTATTGATACGGATATGGGTAACACGGAATCCCGGAAGTAGTTTTGTGTGGCAATAATGGACTCTGTGTGGCAATAAAAGAATCATTGAGATGAATTTCACACTTATACAATAATCGTATCATTTACCTCGCAGAAAGTCGACTTGTCTCCATTTTTCATTTTGCACTGATCCTGTATGGTGAAATATTGTCCAGCTTTTTGGTCGGAAGTCACCACACCTGTACCGTACCTTCTATCCTTTAAACAGTTCACATCAGAACTGTAATACAAGACTATATTAAATCACACCTGTGATACAAGACTATACTATATCAGACTTGTAATACAAGACTATACTAC